GTAATAATTTTAAGATGGCTGTATATCATATGATACTAATAGCTTCTCACCGTGATTCCAAGCAAAAAAGTAAAATTCTATCCATCTTTAAGATTTTAAAATTAAAAAAGGGTTGTAAGAATTGTCTCTCTAAATTTGGTCTAAATATTAATTTTTGTTTTCATACTCATTTACAGCAAACTGGATATAAGTAGAATAATTATATTTTAATATTATGCTTTATGCAATAAAAGGAAGTAAATGTATTTTCAACAATGGGCAATAAACCAAAGATCTATAAATTCTCCATTTCCTTGACTTGACACATTCTTTGTTCAGGTTAAAAAATATTAGAAAAACAAATATTTCCCTGTATTAGACTCCATTGGGATATTCAGAGTCAACTGTGAGTATATCTGTATGTTGCTAATTCTTTTTACATTCTCTTTACTGTTTCTGGATTTAATTGTAAATGGAAATAGCACTTTATTAAATTCCTGCGTCCGAAGTGCTTTTCTGGATTTACCTTCATCAGGAAAGCTTAAATCAAAACATTTGTGTTATAAGACCTAAACATTTGAAGTGCCATTATGACCAAAAGGGACCTAAATGCCAAATTCATTTAAGATCAACTTTGTCTGACAAATTTCTGAAATTTTTAACAGAGAACTTAATTTATGAAAGGTTTGTTAAAGAATCATAAAGTTAAATTTAGCCTTTGGCCATCATCTTTGATTTGTTGGCCTGTTAAAATATTTTTTTTTAAATATAAATTTTTACACAAGGATGTAAAAAATGTCAAGTAATTTGTTTGCCTATGTGAGAGAGTTTTACATGTTATGACTGGTCTGTTATATTATGGGATACATCCGTAAAATTTAGATTATTATAGATATTACATACCCCTGTACATTAATTCATTTTGTTGGTACATGTATACATATCAATTTTCATTGTCGGAGAAAAAATTGCTATTTCTAGGCTACCAAATTTCTTGGTTTTAACGTTTTCTATCCAAGTACGAGTAACTAGAAAATAATATTTCTTACAGTATGAATTATGTCCTCATAGCCACAATCCACGAAAATTGGTATCCCTCAAATATTAATTCATCCACAGTACAATACTTATTCAGTGACATTATGATAGTAGGATTGCTTCCTCATTAGCCGCTATTTTGATTAGATGGACTGTTTGAAGGACTACTTTTTTGGAGCAGCAAATTTCAAAAAGAGTATGTACATTTGTACAAATCTTATTTTTATACTCATTTGGTAATATTGGGTAATATCATTTTGTTGAAAGAGTTTATTTATCGGTACTCTTGTTTTCAATAGGCTGATCATGCAAATTTATATCGATTCTGTCATAAAAGGGTATAATTCTTTAAATTCTTTAATAATGAAAAAAATAAGATGCTTGACTTTAGTTTTAGTTGAATATAACACTAATCCTCATTGAGACCCTCAGAGATATATTTTGTATGTGTATTTATATTCTTTCATCTATCATGATATTGTAAATATTATGTTAATGGTCATCTTAAGGGGAAAATTATAATTGGTGGAAAAACCAAATGTTTATAGTAAAACTATATGTCAGTCAAACTATGGCATACCATAAGTAGTCATGCATGAGATGTTCTGTCATACCCTGATGTAATGCTACAACTTGTTCCCCAAGGCTTCCAAACCTGCTATTCAAAATAAACAAGTAGTAATATTTCATTCAATATTTCCTTAAAGTGCATTATAAGTGCATACATTGGAATGATCAATTTGCATTTCTGAATATATTGGTTTGATGGAGGTTTCTTTGGCATTGAAGGTGATAACTTCAGTCATAAATGATTAATTGGAATGTGGTCCTTTACCAATGGCTGACATAACAGTCTGTTCTCAATATTACCTCAGTTTCTGGTATGACCGACATTTTGTAGGAATGTCTGGGTGTACTTCATTTGATAGTCGTTACTTGACTTGATACAATCGGTATATTGCACCCAGGCCTATAACCTGAGGTTTGTTAAATAAGGAGATTTGAAATGGAGATGTGGTTGCTGGTCTGTCTGGATATTTATAGTATGGTCTACCACTGATTCACTTAAAAAAAATGTCTCCAAATCTCCTGAGGTTTATATTTCGGAAACCTCAATTTGTTCATGTTTTGTATTCCAAGGAAAGATAAAAAAAATCCCAACAATTGAGGTAAATTTCATTGTAGGTGGAATCTATTAGATAATTATATCCTGTTACAAAAGTGAAAGAAAATTCGTCAGAACTTCAGAATAAAAAATAAAAAGGTGACATTTTGATTCATTTGGCCACATGTAATCTAAGTTACCAAGTACACAGAATTATATAAGGGACATACATAATTATAAATCGTAAAAAAACAACTATATCATTGTCATACAACAATGACATCACTTGTAACACAGTAATATGTATCAGAGGCAGCTTGTGACCAATAAATCACAGGAAAATACAGGTGTATTCTGACCTGTCCTTCAGGTAGGAAGCATTCTTATCATGGCTGGACACCTGTCCAAAAAATAAGGGGATGTTTCTGTAGCTACATGTAGGATAAAAAGGAAGATATTTCTCAGTATATATTAATACTAAATAAATCCTTTGATTTATTACGAAAATATGTAGGTTGAAAAATTTTAGTGATATTTTAAACTTGTCTGTAAAATGGGACAAGTTTATTCTCTTTTATGAAAACTGGTATTGTAGTCTCCATACATGTTTTATGATAAGTAAATAATCTAAAGCAAAAGTAAAGCATGAGGAATAGTGGCCTGGTATATTGGGAAAGTGACACTTGTTACTGTGGATTCATTTATTTTCGTGGGTACCAATTTTCGTGGATTAAGGAAAACTTGCATGTTCGTTGATATTGAATTTCGTGGTTTTGACGAAGTCTGCATACAAGTCTATGGAAAATTTGTTATTCGTTGAACTTTTAATTTCGTGGTTCACCTTTACCCTCGAAATCCACGAAAATTGGTATCCAACGAATAATAATGAATCCACAGTATAATATAATGTTAAATTGGCTGAGGCAAAGTACTGTATTAAATCCATTCCAATTCTCACATATATACCTGGCCTTGCAGTCATAAAACTTTTGAGTAAGATTATCCTACTCAGACTCAGAAATCAAACAATCAAAATACTGGATTTTGTGGTGAGCACAAATTATGTACTCCAAGTACTGAGTAAAGTTTATAACTGAAAGTCCATTAATCTTGGACTTGTAGTCTTTGATACGGTTAAGTTGTACATTGTGGCAGTTGTTTGCTTTAACATACACACTTTTAAGTGCAGATGGTTATAGTCAATATGCATGCTTTTTCAGTATTATGTAACTCTTAATTGCAGCTGGTACAAATTCATTAATATATAAAATTACAATTAAAGACTTCAGAAGTCAGAAAAGATTTTACTCAATTAACAGAACTATTTCTCAAACATCTGTTTTCCTGCACACTGCACAGTATTTTAATTGCAAGTTTCTGTTGGTTTCATGAAAGATAAATGAAAATCGTCATATCTTGAACAATTAATAAAGGTAGTTAAGGCAGAGTTGAAATACACAGTGATTATCTTGCTGGAATAAACTTTCAGATGATTAGGTGTAAATTAATTAACACATCCTGTTGATTTTGCAGGTAATAATTACCTAGGGGCACTGAAAGGTAACACTATATCAGGTTGACAGATTAATATTTTATTTAGTGTAAAAAAATCATGGTTTTTGTGGGGGTATTATGTCAGATATGTATGACCATGTATTGATGACCTTATGATGGATGACTGTGTCCAGATAAGTTCTGTCCACTATTGTTCTATACTAGTCCAGAAGTGACACCTTTTGTTGAATTTTGTATTACATTTTATTTGTGATTCATATGTATTTCGCTTAAGGTAAATGTAAAATTTGTTTAGATTTATTTGAATTTCAGTAAGTCCATTTTTCTTCTTTTTTTTTCATTATTTTCATGAAATTTTGATAAAATACTACTCAATCAGACAGTGAAACAGTCTCAGCCAAAACATGTTATTGTGTGTGTTAAGGGTATAAGTTTTACCTATAATCTTTCATTAAAAGAAAGATATCTCACTAGATGCAGTAAATTAAATTCTCTTCCATGAACAGACAGCTAGTGCATAAGGAAGAATAGTAATATTTCAATATCTCCTGGTTCATTTGGGTTTTGAAAAGGATTAAGATTTTGGTACATCTAGCAGTCACAGTGCACTTCTTGAATATTCACAAAGTCAAAATTTGTTTAGGTCAGTTAAACCTGCAATTGTATATTATTGAGTGACTTTGATTTAGTATTGTGCTGAAGTCCAAATCTATTGACAACTACCGGTAATTAGAGTACACAGATGTGAAAAAGGTCCATGCAATTATTGAGTCACCTTAACCTACATTTTAGACAAAAGTAACTGTGTTAAGATCTAAATAAATACATTTTTAAACATATATGTGAAGATTAACCCATCAAAGATTCATACAAAAATTAAGTCACCAACATTTAGTTCATTTGTGAGACTTAATTTATATTTTGGTTGATGATGATGGGAGTTTTTAACCACCTTGACTAGCTATACAGCCCTTGCACGGTCGGTAATTTTTGGTTGAATGGATTCAGGCATGGAGTAGTGTGTGTGCCTCTCAAATTGTAAAAATATCATTATTAGCATAAAAAAAATCAAACAAATTTTCACCTTGCTCTGTTCACTAAATTTATTTTTCCATTGTTGATGCTAATTGTTATTATGAACGACAAAACTATTATTAAAACACCTGTAAAAATCTTAGTCTAAATTCAGTTTTCAAAATTATAGTAGCCACTCCTGGCTATATGGCACTTGAACCTGACAGATATTTGTTTATTCTTATTTTATATTACGAAGATAATTACCATTTACATATTTATTTCATTGATATATCATGCAGCTTTGATTTATTTTTATATAGCATATATTTTTTTCCTTATTTTGTAGGTGAAACTGAAAGCTTTCCAAAGCCATCATCTAAAGATGAGTTGCGGGCCTTTGATGATCAGATATTTGTTACTGGTACAAGATCTGTACAAGTCAGTTTAAAGAAAGTTAGTCGGACTAGATCGATTCCAGATTTATCTACATTGAGAAAGAAGGCAAAAGGTAAACAAACATTACATAATAGCCAATGCCTTCTAAAATATTGATATTACTGTTAACACCACAACATTCCTGGTCTATTTCAGAGAATTTACGTGAGAAATTTCTCAGAATATTATATAAAAGCCCTTCAGAAAATCTGTTTTTGATTATTTGACAAACACTCAAGTCCGGGTTTACTAAATATATGGTTTTAAAAATAGATGTTGGATGAAAACTAAAATGTAGTTGATAAATAGAGAATATTATATGGCTTTTTCAATATCACATCTGTATCAGCCCGAGACACCAATATAATCTCAAGAGCTCTGCTCGAAGAATTGTATTGGTTGAGGGTTGATACGGTGTGTGATGTTGAAAAAGCCATATCATATACACTTTGTTATATATCTCAAGTAGATGTTTTTTCATGTGACGTGATGTCATACAGATTAGGGGTTTGATAAAACCTTTGCAACAGTGACTGAATTTGATGATGTGACGTCATACAGATTAAGGATGTGATAAAGCCTTTGCAACTGTGACTGATATAGATATCATCAAGGATGGTTGATACAGCATGATTGCCATTGATTGTATTACACATACAATTTACATGTATTTACTACTAAGTATATAATAAAGTCATTTAACTTAATGTAGACACATGCAATATTTGAGAATATTGTCCAGAAAAGATTTATGTATTGCTTGAGCTTGCAGGTGCAATATATAATCTACGGGGAAGATATTCACCAATATTCATGAAATAATCCTTTTACTGTTTAGCAAAGTTTGAAAAACTAAAACATAATTTTTGTCTCTGATGACATTGATAATTTGAAGCTATATATATTTGCACTAGTGCAATATGACAGAACATTGCATGCTCACATTTCTTTTCCTTCTGTGAGAAATATTATGTTGCTATACAATTATTGACTTTTGATGAGGTTGATAAATCATCAAATTTCATATTGGTATTATTTTAGTACTGAAAATAGTAACAACGAGTCAATATGATTTCTAAAAATAATAACATCGAGTCAATATCATTTTCAAACTTACACTATTTACACGTGTTATATATAAATTAAGGACTTTCACTCAGTCAATACGTTACATATGGACCTGTTAGATTATATTGAACCTCGGACTTCGTCCTCAGTCAACATAGTCCAAACAGGTCCATATATAACGTATTGACCTCGTCAAAAGTCCATAATTGATAAATGTTTGATATACAATTGGTTTTGGTAAATATTTGACAACAAATACATTGTTTTTCTAGGAAAATTCAATAAAACAATGACTGTCTTTTGTTTTTTGTAAATATGTGGTTTAATAGACTTTTGAAAAACTGATATTCACTTGGGCAGTTTGCCTCAGTGAATATCAGTTTTTCAAAGTCAATAAAACCGCATATTTACCTCATCAAAAGACAGTAATTGTATAGTATCAACTGATGTCAAAAGTCAACAATTGTTTTATTATAATATATTACTTTTTTTTATCCATTTCCAATTTCTAGTATTTGCTCAAGATATTTAACTTCTCCTCTTATACTAAATATATTATCTGCTTTGGCAGTTGCTAATCTTTTATAAGTTGAAATATTCAATAAGATTTATTCAAAAAATAACATTAAAAAAAAAAGAAGAAAAACGAGAATGTGCATGACGTGATAAGCCTGCATTATTGAACGTTGTCTAGGAAAAAACTATATATTGTACGGTACACCCTAGCTGTTCCAAATCTTATAATAACCTCTCATGATTTTCCCTGCGGTAAATATAACGTTTTATCAAAGAAGATTCCCTACATTTTTAGCCAATGAGAAAAGAGAATTGTTTCGTCATATGATAATAAATTATATACTCTTGGATACTTACAAAGAAATGTATTGAAAATATAAAATATATTTCTGAGGATTCATATATTTTCGTTGGGACCAATTTTTGAAAATTAAGGATCATTGTATACTTGTGGGTATTTAATTTAATGGTTTTGACTATTTCTGCACACCAACCTCTTATCCTACAAATAATACTGAATCCACAGTATGTAGTTCTGAAATTCAAAGTGTCCATGACAGAATTTGGAAAATGTGTTGCATTAAAAGTTTACTCCCATAAACATTAGTTTGTGATACAGTCTTTTTAGAGCATCAAGTTTACATCTATTTAAAACATAAAATAACATAACAAAACAACTTTAATAATAAAAAAAAAATACAAATGGCTGAATAGCTGTTTGTTAATAATTTTAACTTTTTGTTATTTATAATTCTATGGCAAGTATTTCATGAATATTTACAAAACAAAATTAAAATAAAGCTTTTGTTAATTATTGAATATGGAATAAATGTTAATAAAGTATAACACAACAATATTTTGTTTTGATAGTTCGATTTTACAAGCTAAATACAGAGTTAAAAGTGCCACATTTTGTATCACTGTTAGAATATTCCTACCATGACAAAAAAATAGGATCCTCCCACACACTCCCTTGTGATCAATGGATAAACACTGAAATTTATTCTGTTATGTAAAAATCTATATCTTCTTAATTGTCCCATATTGATGAATGAGCCATACCTGAGATATGTCATTAATGATCACAGGGAGAAAAAATATTCCAATACTACCTTGACCTTTTGTGAGTCAGCATGCAAGTCCACAGAATGCATTGCTGTCATTGATTTTCTAAATATTAATCATTTTCACTGAAGAAAAATAAAAATGGATTACTGATCATGTGCATGTGGGGTAAGAATTTTTTAACGATTGCAATTGTTGTTCTTGAAAAAATTTACAATCGTCTTCAGGAATTCAGCTATTGATCCATGCATAAATTAGTTTTTTTAGCAAAAGGTCTGTTTAATTTCCAAATCTGCTAATTGGTGAACAGGAAGCTGAAGTTTTGACTTCCAACATACCTTTCTGTAAAGATTAATTTGTGCAAAGGTGCACATTTTTAGCTAATTGGTACAATTATCAATTACTGCTCAATATTTACAACAATGAAAGATGATTAGAAGATATTGATAAATGGAATTATATATATTGCAAACATGTTTCAGATTTTGTTATCAATCAGAAAAGGAATTTTTACCTGTTGGTTCAGGTTTCTGGTATGATTTTTGCAGAAAACTAAAAATTCTTCAATATTTTTAAGTGCATAGACATAGATTGTTTGATTTGATTTAAAATTCATGTCCATTCATTGAAACAGATTTAATTATTTTTCATAAAACAGTGAAATACCTAACCATAAATCCATGCAGTTTGATTTTCCTTCTAGCAAAAAAAAAAAAACCCTTCCCCACAAAAACTAGGATAAGAGATAATTATAAGACAAAAAAAGATGTGTAGTAAGTCAATGAGACAGCAACATAACAACAACAAAAATCAAAAAAGATCTTCTAAAAGCTTACTGGTAAGTTATTGTAACTAATCAGTATACAAAAATTAATGAAAATCAGGAACTTGTTCTTTTAGTATAAAATCTAACTATAGTTTGTTATCAAGAAAAACAGCTTACCAGTGAATATTTTACCTAAAATTCCTTAAAAAAATCTACCATTATGGTTTTGTTTTTTTATCAGTATTATGAGAAAACATTTTAAAAGTATATGAATAACTCAATAATTTAAAAGTGTTTTTTTTCAACATTGAAAAAATGTTACCCCTTAACTAAAATAAAGTGTTACTTTATTGTAAGTTATCTTTAAAAGAAAAAGAAGAAAAAACATGTATAAACTTAATGTAGTTTTAAGCTCTAAGCTAAAATGGACCAAGGAATCGATATGGCAATTACCATCAGGTTTGAATCAGACTTCGTTAAAACCATTTGTTTTTTATGTAATTAACTGAAAAATAGTTTCAAGCCTGGAATTTTACTGAAATTTACATGGGGCAAATGAGCCAGTTGTTTTAACCCTTTTATTTCAAATTGCAACAATTTGTAACAAAATCGACTGCATTGCTATTCATTGTTATTAGTCTCAATGAGAAAACCAATTACTGGAAAACAAGTTTATATGTCTAACTGACGACAACTCTATTGTCTACCAATCTACTAGATATATCAACTCTAATAGCTTTTACCTAAAATAGTTCAAATTCTCATTACATTATTGTCCCTATTTATTTAAGGAAGGACAATATTATTTATTCCATACACAAACTGAAAATTTCACAAGAAGACAGAGTATTATTATAAGGAGTATTGATTTTGAGAGGCTAGCGAGTGTAAAATGTCATTCCTTCACATTGTCTGAATCACAAACTAATCAACATATTGATTCTTCCATCAATCTGCTTCATTGAAAAATATGTTTTAAGGTTACAGGACAAATTCAAAGAACGTGTGACAAGTTTTACTGCTCTTTTTTTTTATATAAGAAGAGAAATCAATGGAAGTCTTATAGATCTTATTGATTTATGAATTTGATTGTAAGGAAGATTTATAAATGTCTTCAATTGAGGAAATAATTGTACTCATAAAAACTTAGGAGTTAAGGATGTTTTGTAAAGCAAACAAATTCTGTTTACACATCGTTTTATGGATTCAGACGTGACACAAACTTTTGGACTAGATTGATCAGATGAATATCAAATTTCCTTAAGAATATGTGCTAAGAAAGTCTAAGAAAAATATATTTCCTTATGGCTGAATGTAGAAGGAAATTATCAGTCTATTCACACAATACAACTGACCTGTATCATTTTGTTAAAACCTGAAGGATACATGGATATGAGCATGCACTGCTGAAAACTTAAAGTGTGTGTCAGGAATTCATTCTGAGTAATGTATTTCATTTTATTTTCTCTAATTGAAAATTCTTGAATGGAGTTCTGTTTTACATTTTAGACTTAATTGAGAGGTGTACTGATTCAAAGTGATATTTTCCCTGTTTAAACTGTAAAAAATGACATGATCTTTTGAAAAACTTTTATTTCTATAATTTTCCCCTCTAATTTTAAATGCAGATTGTCCTTAGTTTTCATCAAGATATAAGCTAACAAGTATTTGAATAATGAGTGTTTTAAATTTACATGACCAAAATCTTTGTCTGTTCCTCCTTTATTTTTGCAAAATAAATGCGTACAAAGACTTGGATACATCCTGTACAGTCATATTCACAGATTGTCCATGATGTAGGATTGTCATCAAAAGGTACTTTCAAATTTCCATTCCCAAAACATACTTTAGTTCTGTGATAGTCAGTTTTACCCTGTATGATTTCATTTTATACACAAATGTCACATGATAACAGAAATCTATGCAGTGTTTGGATCAGTTCAACATTGTCTGCATGAAAACGTCAACATATGGACAATGTCACCTGACGGTAGGTATTCGCCTGTGTAAAATCTAGGCATGTGCATAGAAAAATGTCACATGATACCACTTTAGCAATCTCCACATTGAAACAACAACTATCCAGGATTTCTTCTATTACTGCTTCACAATTTAGGCAGTATAAAATTTCATATACTATCTATGAAATATTTGTTCTTTCCTATAGCAAGTTTTATTTAATGTCATACTGAAAAGGATTGTAAAAGGGAAATAAACAGTCTTTCTTTTTTAAACTTAAAATGAACAGTATAAAACATTGGAAAATGTACTTTATCATTAATTATGTTAATATTATTTCGATAAGATTAGTAGACTGAAAAAGTTATTGCCTATTTCATTCAAAATGTGAAGAAATAATAAGACAAATGCAAAATATCCTTACTTGTGCTTTATGACAATAGTGGTGCATGATTGTAAAAGTCATGTGTCAAACAAAATGTAACAAGTCAGTTGTAGGGTGTGCAGTAGAAATTTTGTCTGTCTGTCTGTCTAACTAACTTTAATACCTAGATATTATTATAGATTTTAATCATATTCTGTATGTAGTTTTGTATGGCATATGATTACAGTTTTTAAAATAAAGATTTTTACTAGGTGTATTGTAACATACCATGTGTTTATCTTATAAATGAAATGAATTGAAAAATTAATAAATGTCTATTTCCATATTTTACAGCTCCTTGTAGGCCAAAGTTCTTTGATAGACTTCTAAACACTGTCAAACTTTCCAAGAAATCCAGAAGTAGCAGTACACTCAGTTCTCCTTCCAAACTTTATGGCAGCAGCTTTGATGAGGATGAAGAAGCAGATACTTTTATAAAGGAGAATGTTGTTAGTCAGAATTCCATTGAGGAAATTACTCAATTAGATGTTGATGGATTTCAACTTCATCTGTTAGAAGAAGGAATTAAAAATAAGGAACTTTTAAGTCAAACTTCAGATGAAAATCTACATGAATCTTCTAAAAAACTCAAGAGAAAATCAAAAGAAAAAAGATCCTCAAAAAGCAGAAATTCAGATAAAACTTTAAAGGAAGAAGAGAAAAGTTTTCCAGAGAATAGAAACTCAGACTCTTCTGAAAAAAGTGTCAAACAATCTGAAAACTCAGACTCTTCTGAAAAAAGTGTCAAACAATCTGAAAACAAAACTGAAACAGAAACAGACATTTGTAGTGAGGGAAATCAGCGAGAGAGAAGTTTATCTGAAGAATCACATACGACTCCATATAAAACATTCGAACGATCTCTTTCTACAGAATCATCCACTCAGTCTACACCCAGTTCTCCTCAAACCACTGGTATAGTTAGGGACAGACTTGAGAGATTCCGACGTTTAAATGAGCGTGGAAACAGAGATCCTAGAATAAGACGTTCAATGTCTGTACCAAACTCACCAGACCTTAAGAGAATGAATATTTCAACAAGTGATGAGCATTGCATTCTATTTAAAAAAGTAGAGGATAAATTCAAAAATGTTCCTAATAAGTCTGAAGAGGATCCTGATCCATACGGAGGTGTTAAAGTTCAACCTGGCTATGTTAAAGCTTTAGTCAGTCAGATAAATAAAAATAAGACAAATAAAACTGAAGGTTTAAGTCTTTTATCTGAAGATGAAAATAAGATAATTGATTCAAAGAATGTAAATGGTGATTGTAATAGTATTCAGAGTGATGTGTCACACACAACTTTTAACAACGAATCAGCTAGTAGTAGTAACAGGAACAGTTTAAAATCCTCTGATTGTGGAGGTACTTCTGATACCACCTCTAGTGGGCAGGATAAAACCGAGAATGAATCAGGATTTGTTTCAGAAGGAATATGTATGGATGCTGAAAAGTTATTTGACTCTAGTTGGTCAGAATCTGATGAGGATTTCATGTCTGACAGTGATGACGGGTCTGTAAAACTAGATGAAACAAGTAGTCCCACAACAGAATCAGATAATAAAGGTTTCACTGTAAGTTGTTATTCTGTTGTAAACAAGTGTTGCTAGTCAGCTGAATTATGCTTACTTTTTAATATTCGTCTGTATATTAGAAGGGCCTTGGTGTCTGAGTGATCTAAGTAGTTCATCTACTGTATCACTAGCCTGTTGACACTGGGGTTATAAGTTCAAACCCTGCATGTGGCAAGTATGTTCAACTACAATCTTAATTGTTATCCTACCAAAGGTGGTGGTTCTCACCTGGCACTCCATCTTTTTCTATCAATAAAAACTGGCAACCAAGATATAGCCAGTAGTGCTGAAAGTGGCGTTAAACACCAACAATCAATCAATCAATCTGTATATTGGATGTTATAAATTTTACAAATTTAGTTCAGCTCAGTTTCTGTAGTTTTCCTGGTTGCTTGTTAAAAATATAAAAATTATAAAAAAAAAAACTAATTTAGGTAGAATAGTTCTTCAGGCCTGCTTGATTTCTTGGATAATTTTCTAAATCATTGTTCTTTGGTTATTTGGTTTTCAGATCTTTTAAGATGTCTTTTGGTTGTTTGTTTTGTTGAGTTGCTGTCTCTTGATTATGCATGACATTTTATGGCTATTTGTAAATATTCTTAGATTAAAGGTCATTCATCTTCAGTTTTTGTTTTTCTGTTTTTAATTGATGAAAACAATGTTGTGTTTCTCATTACTAAGACGAAATGAGAAAGTTCAGTTTGTCAGATATTTCATAAATGAAGGAAGTCAATTCAAAGCTCACTTGCTTAAAGGACATTTGTTTTCCTTGTTCCTAACTTTCTGTGTAACATTTTCCATAGTGAACAGAAAAAGTTAAAAAAAAAAAACCACACACAATGCTTTGTCATAGAATTCTTACCTAAAGTTTGATGATGGAGGAAGTTGCAACAGCTGAAAATGAATCTATTATTAAAAGGTGAAAAATGAAATGGAATTTTTTATGTTGACAGTTAAAAAATAATTAAGTCGGAAGTAAAAAATATTGGGTCAGTCAATAAACCATAACATCACATTAATTTTTATTCGCTATTTGAAATCTATGGTCACTTTTAGCACCTGAATAGAGGAAATTAATATTGGATCTCCGGTGCAATTCATAAAATTGACCTTCAAAACTTTGGATTGACAATGTCTTTTTTTCTATTGCTTATTGGTTAATAAAATATACATTTGTATCTTCAAAATTTATACATCAATCATGTCAATTTCTTAAATTTATTACTGTTATAATGCAGAAAGTTGGGCACATATAAGCACATGTCACATTCTTTTATGCAGTAAATTACTTAACAGGCAAGTAGAACAAAATATAGTTTGGTCCCACAGGTTGAATTACAACTTAGCCTTGCTTTCTAAAATAAACCAGGAACTTGATTTGTTACTTTAATGGTGTTGATAATTTCAATTTTTGATTAAAAGTAAAAGTTCAGTTATCAATGATTTGTTTGTTTTAACATGTTATATCATTTGTTTAATTAATGAAATATCAGCTGATTGATAGTGAAATGATATTCATATAAAAATGAAACCTATACAAGTATGTATATAAACGTAATAAATAACCTGTTGGACTTAATTACAAATTTATGGAACTAGAAGAATATTTGGGTTACACCGTTACAAGCACCATATTGGTGGATTATCTCCCTTTTGAGACTAGAAATTCATATTGAGTGTTAGTGTTATTTTGAGGAAAATTTTGTGGTGTAATTGTGCCTAACTAATATATTGGAAGAAGTGGGGTATATCTTATGTGTTTTTGCCTTTAAGTGCAAGAATGTCTCAGGATTAAATTGGATATTATTACACATATGATTTCATGATAAAAAAAACCTAGAGAAATGGAATGTACAGTGGAGATCTTATGAATGGTACATTGGAACATAATAAAAAAATAGCAATTCACAGCTCGGAAATTAGTATTTATAGAGAGCAAGTTTGACAATGCTCTGAATATTTTGGAACCATATTAAAAAATTATGTTATGGAATGTTCAGACTGATCAACTTACGGACGATATGTTCAATCAGATGCATATATAGACACTCTACTGAAAGGCTGATTCAAATGATTATAGATTATCTGTAGTCTTTTTATAAATTTTAAGGAATTTCAAAAAGATAGATGGCTTTCTTTCAGCCCTTCAGACTGCTGAGTGATTCATTTAAAAATTCCCAGTAATGAAAATGTGGATCGCAGTTAACATGATAATGGTAAACTTTTGATATTATCATTGTTTTTGACATTACATTAATTTGGGGAGGAAAATACATTACATTAATTTTGTATGCCTTTAAAATGACAACAGCCTATAGATTATTTGTTCATCATCATCATCATCATCGCGGCCCACAATGATGTGCAAGTTGTTAAATGGTGTTTCAGTTAAATTATTGTTCATTCACTGACATATTTGGGTCCAAGTTTCTCACATATATATTGAGACTTTCTTACAGATAAAACCCATGAAATCCCCTTTAAAAAATGTTTGGATCCTCTTCTGGATATAATTTTATATACTTAATATAAAATAAGATATAAAATTATTTAAAAATGTAAACACCTTTCATTACTTGAAGTTGTTAGCATAAATTACAACTATATTTTCAGGACAGTACAGAAGTTTCTGGGCCTCCTAAAGACAAGATACAGCAGATTGTAGAGGAATTATTATCTACTGAGAAAGCTTACGTAGAGAGACTGAAATTATTGGATCAGGTAAATAACTTGAACTGTTGAATCAAGGATCTGATGTTAACTGGTTAAACTTATTTTAACTGTTGAATTAAGGTGGTTAAACTTACTTTAACCTGAATCAAGAATCTGAAGTTAAATGGTTAAACTAATACTTTAACTATCATTTAACTTTAAGATCTAGAAGATTATTGAAATTATAAGATATAAGTACTTAAATTATTCCTGTATTTTTTTATTTATAAAAATGCATTTTAAGTCAATCAGGTATGTTTATGTAGATTGAAAAATAACTCTTTATAAATTATGTGCATTCAAAACACTTATCTAGATTTACCGTCATCAGGAATGCTCAAGCCTCAAAATTTTAAAGCCAAGGATGTATTAACACCTGAATAATTGAGGCGATTTGTGACCAAAAAAGATCTAAAAAGAATAACCAAACTCAGATAAGGTCATATTTGCCTGAGGGATGTAGAGCCTTAGTTTCTTACTAATAATTAAATTTGTCATTGGAGAATTTTAGAAAAGTATGTTATAAATCATGCCAGTACCCCAAAATTACTTTATATCTTACTTATTTAGCAAAAATAAATCTTGCAATTTTGTAAGCTATAGATAAGTTTGATAATTTGATTAATTTTCATTTTTATTATTTAATGATATAATGTATGAAGCAGAAACAAGATTTAGCCAATTTTTCATCTTTTGAGAATTAGTTTAATAATTTAAAAAAGTGAAATTTTGATCTAAAATACTACTTCCTGTTGTATCAAATAGATTTTTGACACAGATCAACTTAGTGCATGAATTCATAGTGAAATTATAATTTTAATCTCCATAATACAGAAAAGATTATAATACACAATTTGTACAACTTCCTGAATTGAGGTCCAGACATACTTTTGATCTGAATGGAGGAGTAAAACATAGAAATACAATCCTTCAGGAAATTAGTAATGTTATACAAATCTTCGGGTAACTTTAACGAAATTCCCTCAAGAAATACATTTCCTTTTGATGTATGCAACACTACTTGTTTTAAAAGTTAATTTTCACAGCAAACCTACTTGTTTTCCCAACCTTTATATTACATATATCCTTATAATGTTAAGAAATAATCTTGAGATTGAAATATCTAAAAATAATTTGGTTTTACTTGGATGTTTTCTTGTTGTTTTTTCCCTGTGTTGTTTTTATTTAGAACAATCCTTACACAGATTAGACATGGTCATCATTTGGTTGTTAAATATAAAAAGACATTTTTTCACATTTAATGAAAGGTACTGGATTTTATAATTCATAAAACCCATCCCATATCAAAACTCATGACAGATTTTTTGCAGTCCTCTCTGTTTTTTTAACGTTTTTTTTCTCTACAATTTTCAACCTTAGCAAATACTATTGTCTTGTTAAATGCTGTGTATGTTTAACACATTTATGGACAGATAGTCAGTCAATTTTTAGAACTTCCTTATTGTGAGAACTGGCTCACATGTAACTGCATAATTTCTTGTACATGTAAATGGTTTAAAGTCTGTTAATTATTATACAACTTTTAAAAAGTTATCGGCTAATGAACTCAAAACTTTGGTAAAATTAAGTTTAAGTTATTTAAATCCAGCTTTTACTTTAAAACTATTTTAGTGCTTGAAGGTTAAAGTTTTTAAATAACTTGTTATGATCTTGATTGGTAAAAATTCAAAAGGTTATTTTGTCATTAGTCTGGAGTCTGAAGAAGTGTGCTGAATTTTGCCCTTTTAAGAGAAGGTTTATTTCACTTGTAGCTTTTCAGATGAGAATTTTTAGATGGTATACCCCCCATGTTTACCATATTTTAGAGATTCATATAGAGTAATGATGTTTTTGTTTTTGAAACTGACTTAATCAGCATGAATATCAAGTGAGGCCGCTAAGGCGAGCTGATGAAAAATTTTAATTGCATTTTTCTTATTATTTGCAATTTTTTTTATAAGTGTGTTTCTTTGGGTAACATATGAAATTTAAAAAAAAAAGAAAGAAAAAATGAGTCCTTGCTCTCTACAATTATTAGGAAGTAGAATCATTGAAAGAGAAACTACAAATTACAGATAAGTTCAAATCAATTACTATTTCTTGCTTAGTCTGAAACAAGACAGATATAGTATAAACAACTGTAAAAGAGATCAGTTAGGTATAAAATTAAGTTTATTTTTTATTAGATACTTAATTAAATGAAGATTTTCATTTAATTAAAAAACTTGAGGTTTAGAAACACTTGATGTCTAAAACACTAGTGGTATCTTTCAAAAATAAACTTGTAGTGAGGTGCTTCATCTCTTTTCATTAAAATATCTGAAAAACATAAAAAAAATGTAAGTAGTTTAAGTGCTTGGATCCATTTCAAAAAACTTTGTCTAAGGGGTATGCTTTAGTTTATCCAACTTTATTTACAAATATGTTATTTTTCTTTGGCTTTTGAATAAAAAAAAATAGGTTTTTGCTGAACCAGTATACATTATTGTTTAGGGGCCAGCTGAAGCCCGCCTCCGGTCGCGGGATTTTCTTGCTGTGTTGAAGACCCATTGGTGGCCTTCGGCTGTTTTCAGTTCTTTGGTTGGGTTGTTGTCTCTTTGACGCATTCCCCATTTCCATTCTCAATTTTATTGAAAACTTTTTTCCATTTTCCATTTTCTATTTTTTCATTTTCGCTGAACTAGAATACATTATTGTCTAGGGGCCAGCTGAAAACCGCCTCTGAGTGCCGGATTTTCTCGCTGTGTTGAAGACCCATTGGTGGCCTTGGGCTGTTTTCTGCTCTTTGATCCGGTTGTTGTCTCTTTGACACTTTCCACGTTTCCACGTTTCCATTGTCAATTTTATTATACAGCCATTTTAGGTTTTGATTTTTTAGGCCCCTTCTAGCAATTAGTAGAAGGGCAATATGTGTTCTGTGTGTCTGTCTTGTATGTTGTCCATCTGTCCTTTTTTCCATCCCATATCAGGTTAAAGTTTTGGTTCAAGGTAGGTTAAAGATTTGGTTCAAGGTAATTGGTGGTTCCATCAATTTGAAACATAGTACATTATGTTCATTATTAAGTAACTATAGACTTTCAAATTTTTTTATTTTCCCGACCATTTCCTATGTCACAATGGTTATGTTATTTCGTCATAGTGAGAACTGATTCTTAAATGATTTCATTTACACCAAATAACCTCAGGTCAACCAGTGTAACTCATTCATAAAAAAGAACTTGAGATTGGTCTATTTAAATGTATGTCAAATTTGGGTTTTGACCCTGATTAAGTGGTTCACTGCATATGGAAATGTGTTAGTGTGCGTGGGGGCATGGTGTACAGTTGACAAATATTCTTATTTTTATTTCTGGTTAATGTGTTTAATAAGATTGTTAGATTGATTGTTTCCTTATGTCCAGCAGCTAATATTTCAAGCATATTACTGATGCCTTTCGATACTTAACCCTGCCCTAATTCTCAGGACAGATGTTTGTTAACCTCCTAGTAAGATTCAACTAATTACCAATTGCCAAAGGAAATCCATTGTTATTAATTGTTAACATTATTCAGTAATGCAAAGTACTAAAAAGATTCAAAACTATTTACACGAAATTCATGGTTTTGTGAAAAAATTTTGTTATACCAAACTGAATTGTTCTTAGACCAAATATAACTTAATGTATTGAGGGTTACTAGTATTTTTTTTCAAATTCCATTGAAATAACCCTGAAAACTATATTGACAATTATAAACGACTACATGTATAGATAGTCCTTTTAATGACATATATCAAATATATGATTTATTTACTTCAAACATTGAATTTTTGCAACATTTTTACTATTCATATTAGTATCTAGATGGGCATGCGGGGCACATATTATCATGTTTGTGAGAATTTGACAATGTTATTTAAAAGATGATTGACTTTTTCAGACATTTCAGTTTCGTGTTTTACAAGAAAACAAGATCCACAATTTTCTTCCGGATGGAGTTATACCTCAGATGTTCTCTAATGTACAGAGTATTTATCAGTTCCATAATGATTTCTTATTACCTCAGATTAAAGAACGTGTTGAAGAGTGGTAAGCAATGTGTTTGTGATAGATTTTATGAGATTGATTTTTCATGCTTTTCACTTCCAATCCCTTTTCTCCCAATTTAGTGGTTTTCGACAAATTGATATACATTTGATTCCTATTTTTGCAGAGACTCTGCAGTTACACACTTATTACACTTTTAAGAGTTTAGTAAATATGACTTGTTTCCTAAGCCTAGTTTCAGTTACTTGTAAAAACAATTTTCCTCCTATAACTGTTGCATAAGTAGAATTTTTAGGAATTTATTTTCCCTTTGAACCAATAAACCAAGGATTATGTGATGTAATAATTACGCTATTTGCAGAAAAGAAGATGTTATACACAAGAAAAAAAGTAAAAATTTATTATGTTTAAAATTGATTGCAGAAGTTGCATAAAGTGCATATCAGGGGTGACAACAAAAACATATATTTATCATAACTTGACTTAATGTATAATACTTTGCTTAGAATTCTCATGTTAGTGATTCATTTTGACAACAATGATGGAGACAGATAGATACACAAAATTGTATTTAAATTTTAAAAGATGATCTTATGATAATGAAAATGTAACATTGTATGTTGAATTTGATACCATAACTTTATTTTTCACCACCACACCGATAAGGCAGTAATGGATTTTAATTTTATGGTAGCAAATTTTAATGAAGTACCACTCATTTTTAAAGAATCACACAGTAGGTATTCGTGAAAATGATCTAAGAAAAATAAATAAAAAGATGTATTTAATAACACAAAGACATACACATTTTCTTTTCATTTTTCTTAAAGATCTCATTCACAAGAGATGTATAGTGTCAAATTTACAGGGGAGATAATTCAAAATTTTGCAAACAAGCTTGAAATATTTAGTGAAAAGTCTAAAGAGACAAATACATATATCCATGCACTGCACTTCCAATCAAAATAAGAAACCAGTTATTTTTTGTGTAAATCCCTCATATCCAGTATTAGAGACATACTGAAGAAATTGAACAAAACAAGAATTATACACATTTAAAAAGGTGATATGGACTGAGGATAATTATATAACTAATACTTGAAACTAACTCACTATTTCTAGCAATTTATATACTTGAATTTTGTGACTGGAAAAATTATGCCAATATTAATCTTTAAGGATGTGTCACACTAGAATATACTGTGATATGGAAAGATTAACAACATTAAAAAAAATTAAGAAAAACAAATCACGTACAGCATTGTCTGTTATCATGATTATTTAAAAGCACGAAATGTAAAGGAAAATACATGTATCTATGTAATGTATGTTTACAGAATTTAATTGATACTTTTCCTTATATTTTCTCAGGTCTCCTGAATCTAAAATTGGTGACATGATGAAACAGTATGCCCCACTGCTGAAAATGTACACAGAATATGTAAAGAATTTTGATAATGCTATGAATTTGATAACAGTGTGGTCAGAAAAGTCACCCAAGTTTGCATCAATAGTAAAAGAAATACAGGTAAATTTTAAACCATTATAACAACCTGTGTTTTAAAACAAACAATATTCTCTGCATCCAGCCAAGCAATTATTAGTGATACTATCTTGGATATGTTGCTAATATTATATACTGTGGATGTCAAATGTTTTAAACATAAACACAAATCTTAGAAGAACAATGTATTATTATTTTCATGGAAATATGATTGTATTCAGTTCATCTTATTATACCCCCGCTTTAAAAAAGTGGGGGTATACTGTTTTACCTCTGTCTGTCTGTCTGTCTGTCCATCCATCCATCCATCCGTCAGTCTGTCAGTCCGTCAGTCCGTCCATCCGTCCCATGAAAATTTTTCGTCACATCTTTCTCAGGAACTACAAAACAAGGATTTCTGTAATTTGGTTTCAGGGTTTATATAAGTCAGCTATACCGTGTGATGCGTTTTCAGATTGATCACTCAACAACTTCCTGTTTACCGAACACTAACATCATTTTACACAACACATCCAAGTTGAAAATTTTCGTCACATTTTTCTCAGAAACTACATTTCAAGGATTTCTGAAATTTGGTTTAGTGTTTATATAAGTCAGCTATACCGTGTGATGCGTTTTCAGATTCATCACTCAACAACTTCCTTTTTAACGTCAAGTATTTGGGCTGGGGGTATCATCAGTGAGCAGTAGCTCGCAGTTTCACTTGTCTTATACTAAAAAAAATATGTACATCAGAATAATAGAACAAGGTGGCTGATCTCAAATGCTGAAAATGGTGACCTCTAAATTGAGATGTGCTTTAAAAGTTACTGTCTCAATGACCTTAAAGCAGATCTCCTTTAACTCATATTTGTCCAGGAGTTATTATGCCCCCATCCGTAGCGCAGGGGGCATTAAGTGTTACTCTTGTCCCTCTGAGTTATGCTCCTTTTCAAATGGAATGATTGCTGAATTTTTCGTTTCAGTTCTCTAACTTAAGTTTGCCTCAACCAAATGTTATGAATCTTATACACAATGCTTTTTACCACAAAACACAGATCAAATGTGAATTTTGGTGGCGTCACTTTGACCGTTCTAGAGTTATGTCCCTTTACAAATGGAAAAATTGCTGAATTTATAGTTTCCGCTCTCTAACTTAAGTTTGCCTCAACCAAATATTATGTAACTTATACACAATGCTAACTACCACAAAACTCAGATCAAGTGTGAATTTGGGTAGCGTCACTTTGACCTTTCTGGAGTTATGTCCCTTTATAAAGTTATGTGCAAGCAGGGCCATCATCTGTCCCATGGAAACATTCCCCATTTTATTATTATTTTTTTTATTTGTCCAATTAAGAGAACTTTTGCAGATAATTCATCTGGATATTAATGTACATCATCAAGGTTTTGCATTATTTTGTTCAGAAAATTTTTCAATTGCTATCTATACTAAAATTGTCTGAATTTTACATTCTAGTCATTTAATTGTTTGTATCATCCTTTTTTGATGATTTACACTTTTTGTTATTCTTTATTGAGTTTTCAAAAATCAAAATTTTGCTCTCAGGAAGTAAAAGGTAAAGACTTGACCTTCAAATAATTAAATAAACCCGTTTAAATAATATATCTTCAAAGCCATCAGGATGTATATGCTTGATATTACGTAAGAAAACGATTTAATGTAGTATTTTTGTATATGTTTTGAAGGGTCATTGTATCTTCACATGATACATGTTGTATAGTATGTTTTGTATATTTATGATATCCTTTTGATGTGGTATTTCAGCACTTTGGATGATAGATAACTTAGAATTTTTTATACAATATTTTATGACTGTTCCTTGATGCTGAATGTCAAATGATATTTTATGACTGTTCTTTAATGCTGAGGTCAAATAATATTTTACGGCTGTTCTTTAATGCTGAGGTCACATGATATTTTATGACTGTTCCTTGAGGCTCACATAATATTGTATTGACTGTTCCTTGATCCCATTACATGATATTTTATGACTTTTCCTTGATACTTGCATGATATTTTACTTGTAGTAGTTTCAGACATGAGTTTTGCAGTTTGGTCATGTTTGAGGTTTATCTTAAGGTCAATATTTAGGCATGAAAACTGAAATTGATTTTGTTAGCAAATCAATCTTAGACAAGTCCATACACAAACTGATCACTTTGATCACAATTAGTCTTGATAGACTATGATTAAGTGTAGCATTAGGTCTACAATTCATAACTACTGTATGATTGCATCCAGTTAGAAATCCTTGAACTATTCAAATTACTACCAATTGTGAATTGTAGACAGTTTCTCAGACCTGCAACTTTCCTGATTTATATTGATTTACCAAATGAGAGGTGTTGACCTTATTTTCTATTCAAATCCTCCATTATATAAAACTTAGAAGGAATTAAAAAGACATTTGAGCATATATATATATATTCATTCAAAACCATATAAAATATAAAACATTTATGGCATGTATAAATGATGCATTTGGTTCTCCAGTGCATACAATCCCCCATGGGATTTGAGAAGTTGGTAGACATACATGGTTTCATTAAATGTAAACCTGATCTCAGCAGGTACTAGTCAAGAGAGAGAGGAATGGGAATTGTTATTGGACATCACTCATGTCTTTGAAAGTAACAAATTGGATGAAAAAATCATTATTGTGTGGTTCCAGTTAAACACTTTTATACATCTTGATAAAATTGATTTTGTATAAGTCATACATGCAAGGAGAAGTGCCTATAATATATCAAAGTCATACATGTGAGGGGAGCTGTTCACAGTGATCTTAAAATGTATCATTTATCTGTTTACTTAGTACTTGTAGTAGTTATACGCTACAAGTCATTTGCTACATATATTTGACCTTTATTTTAGATGACCCCTGAATGTGGTAGTTTAACACTTCAGCATCATATGTTAGGACCAGTTCAGAGAATTCCTCGTTATGAAATGTTGCTCAAAGGTATAATAATTTATAGATATCTGAATTATTGATGGTGAAATATGTAAATAACATATATGTAACTATTTGCTATCTGTGGTTAACTTAAACATTTTTTAAATTTAATGATTTTATCATGTTGAAACAGTATGATAGACCTAAGTCAGTGTAAATATTATATCTATTTTTTTAATGTATTCAAAAAAAATTATCCATAATTAACACTATAAATGACTTAAATAGTACATATAATACCCAAAACATTACATTATACATGTATAACAAAAATGTTTAAAAGTGAACAAATTGAAAAGTTGCTCTATTCTCTAAATACAACTTAGAGTGAATATTATATATATGATACCTTTTGAAAGGATTCAAGGAACCTATTTTTTTACAGAGAAACAACTCCTTTAAAAAAAAAAATTCATAGATAGAGTATATGAATCATTGATGTTGACAGGATTTCATCTCCAAAGTTTTAACAGTTTTGTTAAATACATGCTGACTACTTTTTGCAAAATATGAATTTTCAAAGTGTCCTTAAGAGTTCAATAAGAATCCAATGTAACCTATGATTAATTTTCAAGGATTTTACATTGGGCCGGTAAATTTTTTTTTATATTACTTTGGTTGCTTTCTTATAAAACCATTATGAAATCCAGCTTTACAATGTCCAGAAAAAAATTACACTGAACTTGATCGGGGGCTTCATGTTTTTCTATAATTCAGATAGTTTTTACAATAGAATTTTATATGAATCCTTTTTATTTATTTATGACTCCAGTAGGTTGATGAAAAAAATAATTAATTACTGATAATCAGAATTTCTTGAAAATTTATAATGTACTTTAATAGTTTATTATCTAGATTACAATAAAAGCACTTAAGAAATAACTTTTGAACACGGTGTCTCATGAGGAAAATTATAAAGTGGTCTGTTGTTTGTCCTTTGATATTATAACATCAGGTTAGCAGAACTACTGTTAAATATTAAATGATATATTTTCATTTGCATATTTTCAATAAATTGATAATTCACAGGGCTCTTGTGATAATACCATCAAAATTTCACATATCTCTAGGTGTAAATCTATCAAGTTATTTATAAATCTGTGGTAATAAAATCATAGATACATCTCATTGTTCTCTTGTGACAATTAATGACATACAACAATCCATAGATGTCTTGGTGATCATGCCACTGAAGTAATTGATATATCTTTGGTGATTATGCCACATAAATATTCAGTGATCTCTAGTAACATTATGCCACATAAATATTCAGTGATCTCTAGTAACATTATGCCACATAAATATTCAGTGATCTCTAGTAACATTATGCCACATAAATATTCAGTGATCTCTAGTAACAATGCCACATAAATATTCAGTGATCTCTAGTAACATTATGCCACATAAATATTCAGTGATCTCTAGTAACATTATGCCACATAAATATTCAGTGATCTCTAGTAACATTATGCCACATAAATATTCAGTGATCTCTAGTAACATTATGCCACATAAATATTCAGTGATCTCTAGTAACAATGCCACATAAATATTCAGTGATCTCTAGTAACATTATGCCACATAAATATTCAGTGATCTCTAGTAACATTATGCCACATAAATATTCAGTGATCTCTAGTAACAATGCCACATAAATATTCAGTGATCTCTAGTAACAATGCCACATAAATATTCAGTGATCTCTAGTAACATTATGCCACATAAATATTCAGTGATCTCTAGTAACATTATGCCACATATATATTCAGTGATCTCTAGTAACAATGCCACATAAATATTCAGTGATTTCTAGTAACAATGCCACATAAATATTCAGTGATCTCTAGTAACATTATGCCACATAAATATTCAGTGATCTCTAGTAACAATGCCACATAAATATTCAGTGATCTCTAGTAACATTATGCCACATAAATATTCAGTGATCTCTAGTAACATTATGCCACATAAATATTCAGTGATCTCTAGTAACATTATGCCACATAAATATTCAGTGATCTCTAGTAACATTATGCCACATATATATTCAGTGATCTCTAGTAACATTATGCCACATATATATTCAGTGATCTCTAGTAACAATGCCACATATATATTCAGTGTATTCAGTGATCTCTAGTAACAATGCCACATATATATTCAGTGATCTCTAGTAACATTATGCCACATATATATTCAGTGATCTCTAGTAACATTATGCCACATATATATTCAGTGATCTCTAGTAACAATGCCACATATATATTCAGTGATCTCTAGTAACATTATGCCACATAAATATTCAGTGATCTCTAGTAACAATGCCACATATATATTCAGTGATCTCTAGTAACATTATGCCACATATATATTCAGTGATCTCTAGTAACATTATGCCACATATATATTCAGTGATCTCTAGTAACAATGCCACATATATATTCAGTGATCTCTAGTAACATTATGCCACATAAATATTCAGTGATCTCTAGTAACAATGCCACATATATATTCAGTGATCTCTAGTAACATTATGCCACATAAATATTCAGTGATCTCTAGTAACAACTAACAATGCCACCAAACAATTCACAGAACTGGGGATAATGGCACCTAAACAATTCACAGATCTGTATTGTATCACAGTGCTAGATAAATTCCAAGTCACATCTCCAAAATTTATTTATAGAAGTCCTTAACTTGTATTTGAATTTGTATGATTCAGACAGAGGTCTTGAAATTTTCATGTTTTTATGCATTTATTTTGTGCTATCTGTGATGTCACATAAACACATGAAAATTTCAAAGCCTCTGTCTGAATCATACAAATTTAAGTACAAGTTAAGGACTTCTATAAATAAATTTTGGAGATGCTATTTTCAATGGTTGTCTGTTCAGTTTGGGAAATAACTTACTATCAAGATCACTTAAGCTTGCAACCATTTCAGCAAGCATTCTAGCTTTACCAGTTGGAATATAGTTAGTTAGTTTCATAGGAAAAGTCAGTGTTATTTTAAAACAATTATGGTCCTGTAAAAAGCTTTCGATAACCCTTTTAAATCTAAAACTTGAAAACTTTAACATAAACAAAAGACTTACATAGAAAAGTGACAATATATAAGTGTACTATAATTACTGTTCTTCATCTTGTGGTTACTTCATATATATTACAGATTATCTCAGACGTCTTCCAGAAGATGCAGCAGACAGAGAAGATGCTCAAGGTAAGGTCACTGTCTTTCTAAGAATGCAACCATTTTTTAAACAAGAATTGGAGCAGATATTCCTATCTTGTGCAAGGATACCTATTATTCTTTGGACAGGTAGAAAAAATGCAAAACAAGAAAATCTTAATACATAATGTACAAACAAGATCGTATCTTTCATCTCCAACAAGGTATCTATGTGTTGAAACAAATACTATCAAAAACTCGCCCAATGGTCGTTATAAAGAAAAGACTAATATTTGAGGATGCTGATTGACTGAACATTTGTTTTATTTTGCTAAACAGTTGTCTTAAACTCTCTACAGTATTCATAAAACATTCATTGATCTTGACACTGACTCAAGATGTATTGCATTATAGCTTATTTAATTCTGATTTTAAAAAAGAAGAAACCAAAGGGTTGATCAAAATCATAAGTAGAAGAAGGACGAACAACAAACATTTTTAGGAAAAAAAGAAAAATTGTCCTCAGAACACTACACAAAGAACTAAAGATTTAGCAGTTTTTAAAAATAAAAAAAATATAAAACAAAACAGGGATGAAATGATTTGGTTCTAAAGGGTAAACAGTTCCTGCTAAGTCAGTGGTACCTGTTGTGTTGATCATAACAAGTAAAAATCTGGGGATACAAAATCACAATCAAATATCAATCATGAATAAGGATAGAATGAAATGATTTTGGATACAACAAAGTAACAAATTCATGGTCACTTATAGTTTGAATTATGAATTATGGAACTGTTACAAAAATTGAATCCTTTTGAGTTTAAGCAAGGAAATATTTGACAGTCACTTATTTTTATTACAGTTGCCCTAGAATTGGTTACCACGGCAGCATGTCATTCTAATGAAGCCATGAAGAAGATAGTAAGTGCTGATCTACTATATAAGATAATGTCACAATGAAAAACCTAATCTTGGACCATCATATTTGAAATCAGTAAAGGTCAAAGACTACTAAAGAGAGACAAAAGCAATCTATTTAAGGGTTGCATATGACAAAGTATACTTAAAATCATGACAAGTTAAGAATAACTACCCATGCATTTCCTATTGGTAATTTTAAAAAATAAAACAGTATTAAGAGTGACAAGTTAAGAAGGAAAGAAAACATCTATTTCTCTATTGGTCATTTAAAAAAAAAACAATATTAGGATTTATTACATGATAAAACTGTGTAGTACTGACAAAATGAATCTATACTGTAAGATTCAGGCTGAATACATTAAGATAAGCAAAATGCAGATTATATAATTTTGAAAAAATATTTTGTAGGATAGTTTTAATAAATTACTGGAGATTATGAGAAAGATTGACACTAGTGAGAATTTGATAAGTCCCACTAGAGAACTTGTACGAGAAGGCCGAATTATTAAGATATCTGCTCGTGGTGGAGAAAGACTTGAAAGATTCCTTTTTCTGGTAAGAAGTTATATGAAACATTTGTTAATATTGTCACTAAAATTTTAACTATTTCTGATATATAGAGTTAGAAATTACTTAGGAAATCCATAATACTTTGCAAGGAATTTTATAGACCCAAAATATAAATCATAGATGGGTATGAATTTTAGAAATGCAAATGCCTTTGAAATTAAAATATTGCACATGTGTTTTGTGTTGGGGATAGTGGTTTCCAATCAATTGTAACATTTTTCCGTGTTGAATGAATTCTAAATATAACTTTTAAATGTTGTGTGTTTTAGTTTAATGATCTGATGTTGATTTGTTTTGAGCCATTGTTGGGAAGTTACAAGATTAAATCACAGTTAGAAATGGATGGTATGGAGGTTAGTATACTGATTTACTATAAAATTAAAAAAAATATTAGTAAAGAAACCCAAAGTGCTGATTTTATTTATCTGGAATTTTGCATTTTACTAAGGTATTTTATGGTCATAGAATTTACTTTTTATGACGATCTTTTTTATTCATAATTTTGTCAAAATATGATGCGATAGGTGAATATATCTGCACTCTACACTATATGCTCTCTATATATTCCATACTCTCTTAGTACACAGTCCAAATATCTGCACTATCACACTGCAGGACTTGCTTAATGAGGTTATAGCTAGTTGTTCAAGAGGAACATTTTCTGATAATATATTTGATATAGTCATCATCATTGAATGTTAAAAGCTAATTCTGTCAGCCTTTAATATATTAATTAAATAGTAATACCAATCAATCAGACTTACTGTGTTCAAGTCCAGCTTGTCTTCTGTTTATTCGTGATAGAAAATTTAGAGAAAAAAACAACTACATTGAAAAAAAACCAAGTTGATTTAAAATGTATACATTGTAAGAGGATTTGATTTATATTATGTGAATAGTAAAGAGTATGAATAAATGTTACTTTTTTAATGGACTTTGTTTTGTCACTGTAGTACAGTAGCATTAATATGATTTCCCTTTCCATGAATTTAAAAAAAAGCAATTTATAGAATGCTTCTTGTATGTAAGTGTTGTGATTTTGTAGATTATGGAACGCACTGATAAATGTCTACGTTGGGTAGGTTAGAGAGCTTTGCTCTCCCTCATTTGCTTGTATCCCCTAATGGTTATGGCTTGGCTTAAAATATTTAGTAGCATATGGCTTCATGGGAGAGCTGCCTTTTTCCTTAGTCAATACCTTATTCCCAAATGTTAAATTTCTGTATTAATAAATGTTTCATCAAGCTATTATGTCTGTCTATAATTCCCTTTTGTGTTGTCTTTAAGTGTAAGTGCTATTAATTTTTTGTATGAATTTTAGGAAAACTATAAAAAAATCAGAAAAATTTTGTACATTGTACATACGAAAAGCTTGATTGTTCTTTTTAGCTCTATGATAGACCATTTTCAGAATAAATGCCATGATGTGTTGAAATTTTGTATTTTTGATAAGAATAGGTAAGAGGGAAGGTGTTGCATTTGAAGCAATGCATTTTAGTTAATGGCAGAATGTGGTGTTACTCTCTTTGAGCAGTGCTTCATTGACTAATGATACTTGGTTTGATGTGGAATTAATCGGATTAAATTACGGATTCTGTGAACACAGTTAGCTTACAATGATCTGACAGAATTATGTTCTACTCTCTGTTCTAATAATAATTATGTCAACCATGAAATATCTGCCTCCAAATTTGTAAAGGAGTGTATCATTACAACAAAACATGAGGATCCCAAAATGATTTCACAATTGAAAGTAAAACAAAGTGATGTCAGATTCTTAAAAGGGATATGTTGACACAGGAATTGTATTTTGATAAGATTAATGTTGCAATTGCATTCACACATTTTTTGAATTACAAGCAGTATACTAGACCTGCTCCCCTGTCAAGTTCAAGAGACAAAATATGACATTTAAATTTTGTACCTATTTTGCTAGATGCTTTCTTTTGTTTACGTGCTTAAAATGAAAAGCTTACAAAATGCTATTTTTTTTAATTTTGGATTTGCTTTTCCTGAATTATGGGACTTTAACAGTCATATTTAAGGCAATTTTTAAACGTTTAAGGATATCTAATTATTATTGAAGGTTTCGTTTGTTTTTTTATTTTGTTGAGTTGCTGTCTCATTGACAAATACCTGTCATCTCATTTTACTCATATTTTTGTATAACTTCCATACCTTATAAATTGCAGTCAAAAAAGGTAATGACGAAATGATAAATAAAAAGTTTTAAAAAAATTTCAAGCTTTCTCCTTTATCATCTTTGGAATATTAAATCACATGATATAAAATATTTTTATTCCTTACAAGAGGGAATCAACAACCTTAAGATACAGTCACTTGATTTAAATTCAACTATAAAGATGATACAATGACCAGGCATTAAACTAATTGATTCAATGAAAAGTATTTTAATTTCTTTTTTAAATGGTTACATGAAATAATGAACAGTTATACAAAGTTGTGTTTTGACCTATCCATTTGTTAACGCCTGTACCTGTACCCTGAATTGCATGTTGTATAACCTATATATTTACATATTTGGAGATGAGTACATTATTAGATACTGGTGTCTGATTGTATCATTAGGTCACCATTAGCATGTTAGACTGTTATTGTATTTTCATTGCATGGACATAGTTGTCTTATGGTTGTCAGCATTGTCACACATGGTAACTGGGTTGTGAGGAAATATCAAGTTAAAAAGCTGTCAAAATATGATATTGTATTTTTTCATAAAAAAGATATGTGTACTATAACTGAACTTTTGTTAACACAGTTTCAAACCAGTTGTGCACCTTTTTTTAATAGATTATCATTTTTTTTTCTTTTTCAAAATTATAAATGACCCTTTTCTGTAAAGTGCAACCCTTGAACTTCTATAATCTTATCCTTTGAAATTTTGAATAATTGTGATCTTGATCTTTTGCAATATATGATCTTCAGCACTAAAGTGGAATATTTGAATAAAAAAATGAAAAGTGTGTGGTGTGATCAGCAGCCTGCTAGAAATAAAAATTACATAGAGGCCATTTTGAATCTTTTTTTCAACCAGCAATCTTGTTTAGGATCAAATCTGTAAAGTATCAATGACCTTAAATAGCAACCCTGCCTTACAAACAAAGCATGCTTGTACTAACATTAAAATATTGATATATATCATACCTAAAAAAAAACCAATAATTCCTGGTGTATACTAAGATTATAATTCATAAGGATATCTTAAGAACAACATTATAATATTGTTACATTGGCATCATGATATACTAAACATGCTCAGTGTGTTAGGTGAAGCTGTCACATGTTGTCATAGAGATATTACAAGATGGAGATGGAAATCAAACCTCAATTAACCAAAAAACAATAATAATGGAGCATTTTAAATTTCTATTAATTGAAGTACAGTTAGCGTATTATAAAAGATCTATATTGAAAAGCGATCTTATACTTTATTTACTTGTTTATTTCAGATATTAGAAGGAGAGAGTATAGATATTCCTAATACATTCTATGTCAAAAGTAGACAAAAAATAATACAGTTCTTAGATGAGTAAGTCATAGACATTATATTATAGTAATTTATTGCTGTTGACTGAATTTATATTTGTGTTTGTAATATTTCACAGTTTTAAAAACTGCTATTCTGTATTTTGTTAAACCACATTTAGTGACTGTAAATTTAGAAATTAATGTGTGCATTTGTTATTGCAAATCACTGATTACTGGTAAAAATGGGAAAGTTTAATTAATGTCATTGCAAAATGTTTGTGAAGGATAATCACTACTGAAATTTTAAATGCCAACCTGAAAATGTAGAAATTTTTTTGCATTAATTAAAACATTGCAATAATTTTTATACAACCGCCAAAAAATTTTTGGGATCGTATAATGGTATGATGTCGTCTGCGTCTGCGTCGTCGTCGTCTGCATCATCGTCCGAAGACACATTGGTGAATGGATCTCTATGAAATTTTTTTAGAAGGTTCAATACCACAAAAGGAAGGTTGGGATTGATTTTGGGGATGATGGTCCCAACCGTTTAGGAATTAGGGGCCCAAAAGGGGCCCAAAACAAGCATTTTTCTAGTTTCAGGATAATAACTTGTGTATAAGTATTTCGATTGCTCTGAAATTGTACGACAATGTTAAATACCACAAGTAGGTTGGAATTTATTTTAGGGGTTATGGGGCCAACAGTTTAGGAATTAAGGGCCAAAAAGGGGCCAAAAACAAGCATTTTTCTTGTTTCCAGACAATAACTTGTATGTGTATGGATCTCTCTGACATTGTACTACAAGGTTCCATATCACAAAGGGAAGGCTAGGATTGAGTTTGGGGTTAATTGCCCAAATATGTAGGAATTAGGGGCCAAAAAAGGGCCAAAAACAAGCATTTTTCTAGTTTCCAGACAATAACTTGTGTTTAAGTGTATGGATCTCTCTGAAATTACACTACAAAGGAAAGGCTGGGATCGAATTTTGGGGTTATTGCTCCAAGGGGGGTTTCAAAAATTTGGGGGGGGGGGGGGGGGGGATTTTTTATTCCAATTTTTTTAGAGGATTCATATTTTTTTTTCAAAATTTTTAAAATTTTGAATTTTTGAATAGTTTTCAAGATGAAATCTTCAATTGCACAGTATTGCGCAATAGATTTGTAAGATCTTTGACCACATTAATTTTGTGTTAGAAATCTATATTATGTCAAAAATTTTATCACAATCCAAATTCAGACAGTATCAAGCTTGAATATTGTGTCCAAATTTGTACCAACTGTTCAGGGTTCAACCTCTGCGGTCGTATCAGGCTGCGCTCAGCGAATCATTATATTGAACTTAAAGGAGTTTTTTATGGATTTTTATTGAATGGAATTAAATCACAATGTTAGAATTTTAAATGATTAGTGAATACGCAGAAAGTGCACAGAATAATGCTGTATGACTTGTTATATATTGAAAGGATAATTATTATGCCTTTTTTTCAGAAATTCCAATGGTGAGCCATCAGGTTGGTGTGAGGTATGTATCGTCATCTAACGTTAGGTATAGATAGGAATAAAAATAGATGTGGAGTATTTGTCAATGAGACATCAACCCACTGATAAAAAACCAATAGATTGATTGGTGTTTAATGCCACTTTCAACACTATTGTGCTATTTCGTTGCAGTCAGTTTTTATTGGTGGAGGAAGCCGGAGAGAACTACCCACCTTTGGTAGGAAAACTACAATCCTAGTCAATTAAGATTGGAGTCGAGTGCACCTGCCCCGTGCGGGATTCAAACTCACAACCTCAGTGTTGACTGGCTAGTGATACAGTAGCTTGACTACTTAGACCACTTGGCCACCGAGGCCCCAAAAACCAATAGATACTTAAAGGTCAAAAGAAGCCCTTTTACAGTAAACAAGTTTCTATTTTGAACCTAAATCATTTTTTTTCTAATATTTATCAATTATACACTCTATAAAGGAAGAATTTAGTTTTACAGTATTATTATTATAATCTTGAACAAATGAAAATCCTATAAAATTAGTGAGGGGCAGTAGAGTGGGGGTCATCCTGAATTCCAGAAAATATAAATCGTGCTTTTCCGGATCCCGAAAAAGACAAATCATTAATTCCCTAGACTAGATAGGTGTAAATCCTGAATTCCAGCAAAAATAAGGGCCTAATCCCGAATTCCAGCGTAAATAAAGGCCCAATCCTGATGTCTCAAAAAAAAAGGTCCTTCTGCCCCTCAGTATTGCATTGCTATCGTGTATTTTGTTGGACTCTTGTACTGTGGATGCCTTTATTTTCCTGGATACCAATTTTCGTGGATTCAGGAAAAATGTTTTTTTCATGGATATTTGATTTTGTGGTTGAGCCAAAGTCTCCATTATACAGACCTATAGCAAATGTGTAATTCGTTGGACATTTACATTCATGGTTTTCCTATACTCATGAAACCCGGGAAAATTGGTATCCAATGAATGATAATTAATCCACAGTAGTTTATTTTCTTTACAGTCTCAGGAATATGCAGTAAATTATTCTTTGCTATCATTTTAATTTCAGACTATAAGAAAGACAATTGAAAAATATAAACGACGCCAGTCTTTAAAATCAACGGAAATTCAAAGAAATAGTAAAGGGGTGAGTGACCAGACAATATATATAATACACTATATATTATAGTGCACAGGTTAGACTCTTATCGATCTATAATACCAGACTATTATATCAAGTGCAAGGATTTATAGATTATTGATGGTTTTTCAAACGAGAGGGTGTTTCTCAGCTACCATCTTATCGAAGGTCGACAGCCCTGAGATGATATGTGGCCGAGAAACATCCTTGAGTTTGAAAGACCATTGATAATCTATTTATCCCTATTTTGCCTATGACGTCGTTGATGTTTTCATTGACAACGTCACATGAACCCTTAGTTTCTGACGATAATTTTCTATCTCAAATGAGTAGCGCGATATGAAAAATTATCCTAAAAATAGACCAAAGGAAAAATACGCAAAATAGCGATAATAAATTTTTATCAATATATAAACTACACTCTGATATTAAATGTAGGGATAAGATTCTTTTCAATATATATAAGTGTAACCAGCCTCCTGTCAATTTTATTGTCCCCCGCGTAACGCGTTGCAGGGGACATGGAATTACCGGGCATCCGTCCGTCGCTCCGGTCTTGTTAGCGCTCTCATAGGTACAATTCTTGCCTGATTTTTATAAAACTTATGCTATTGGTTAATATCAGCAATATCTCCCATAAGTTTTATAATGGTGGAATATCAACTTTTGTCAAAAGAGTTATGCCCCTTGGAAATATAAAATTTATGGAAAATGGCCTCGTTAGCCCTCTTACAGGAACAATTCTTGCCAAATTTTTATAAAACTTAAACGATAGGTTAATATCAGCAATATGTCTGACAAGTTCTATAATGGTGGACGATCGACATTTTTTAAAAGAGTTATGCCCCTTGTAAATATTAAGTATAAGGAAATTGGCTACGTAAGCACTCTCATGGGTACAATTCTTGCCAGATTTTTTTAAAACTTATACTATAATTAATATCAGCAATATCTCAGATAAGTTATATAATGGTGGACGATCGGCTTTTTCTAAAAGAGTTATCCCCTTTGGAAATATAAAATATGTGCAACGCGGGGGACATTGGAACTCTGTTCTTTTATTTATATTGATTTTACCACTGCATTGAGTGTGATATGATTGTTCTCCACTCTAGACAGTTAAATTTTCAAATTTAAAGTGTTGGGCTTGCTGAGTGTTTTTAAATATTTAAAATTTAGTACAAACTGTTTAGAGTGGAGAAAAATCATATTGCATGAGCTTTGGTGGTAGATCTAGAATAATCTTGTTCATAGAAGATATGTAGACAAACTTTATCTTTCTTTTCCAATGATCTACAAGAATATGTGTTCTTTCTATGTGACGTCACCTTTTTTTAGTAGCGTCATAATAGGAAATTCAGATGAAAACAGAAAATTTAACATCATAATTGAATTTTAACCAATGACGAAATGAGATCAAAAGAACCACACGTTGATTAAAAAATACAAACAGGTCAGGAAAAGGTTAAATTGGCTAAGAATTAGAGAAACGTTTTTACACAATTACAAGATGAAGCATTATGAATGGTAATAAATTCACAAAACTGTATACCCAATAAAAGGCATCTCTATTGATTTGATATGTACGAGGTAGTCTTGTCATGTTAGACATGATTTATGAATGATTTTATTCCAGATGACTGATGTAGAGTTAGGAAAAGTTGCTCCTAAATGGATCAAAGATGACGAGGTCACAATGTGTATGAAATGTACTGCTAAATTTACAGCCATTCGACGGCGTCACCACTGTAGAGCCTGTGGTGATGTAAGTATAACTGTTATTCAGATGACATATAACTACTGAGCACTATTACTTTGACTTCAATATCATATTTTTATCTTTTTAAGTATACTCGTTTTCAGGCCAGAATTATGATTTTTTTTCAGTAAAGACTTATGATATTTGGCATGTGTATGTATTATGTTAAGTCAATGTGTGCAATACAATTATTTGTAATATCTAACTCAAATGATTGTTTATTTATTATAACATTTCTGGGCCAGAATGTTGGTTTCTTTTGAAAACTTTTTCTTTATATCTTTTGACACTCACTTGAAATTTGATATTTTGGTGAAAAAAAAAGAATCCAAAGTGTGACAGGCATATGAATTAAACTGTTAAGATGATAAGTATCAATTTTTATTCTTATTCTCCCCATTTCAGCCATATCTGATCCAAATTAAACTTGACAGGGATGTCTGTGTTCTATTTGACTAAAATATTTAAATTTTGTTTAATTCTCCAAGTTAACTTAAAGGGGCACTAGCTACGAGATATAGAAAAAATATAAAATATGATTTTTTTGTTCAATCATTAATGAAAGTGAAATAGTGAAATAATATATCACTTTTAGGTGTAATACCACCATTGATTTTCCCCTATTAGTCTTTGTTAAATTTGCACTTTTCAAAAAATTGTGCAGAATTTATCTTTGTTTCAAATAAAGAAATACTTGGCATGAGTAAAGTTTGATCCTGTCCAGTACTATAGAAAAAATTTCACATGACATTTCATTGCATATAAGAAAATAACCATCACTGGAAGTTAACCAATCAAATTTTCCCCCTTTTTTAACCTGTATACAAGCTTTAGTAACCATGTAACCTCAAGTTTCCAAAATATTCTATAGAAACCCCAAATAAAAAAATAATGGTGCTTTGAAATACCCAAGATATATGTTTATGACCCAGAAATGTTTTACTGCAATGAAATGTAGGATCAATTACCTACAACTGTCAAATTCAAGGGAATATTTTTTTTTCGACCTATTTTCGTATGCAACCGGATGTGACGTACTATGATTTGGTGGTATTACACCTTTAGCAGCCAGTATGGTTCAATTTTGTCAAAATAAGCGAAGAAACATTGATGATGAATTATTCACTTGCAAGTGAATAATTCGATCTCATTGAATCCGTATTCATGTGAACTTCAATTTAACCCCTTAGCTAGAGATAGATACCGCATGCATTGTGCATGTTCAATTATTTAAAGGAAAAGAATGTCAACATTGAAAGTGAAACAAAGGTAAATTATTTGATTGACTGATTCGATCCGCAAAAAATCGTTCTTATACAGGTAAAAACGATGATTAACATATATTTTTAATCTATAATATTAAATGAAACAGACCTAGAAAAATCCAAATGCACGAGTATGCTATCTATTTATATCTGTATTTATGTTTAAATCGCTTATATGGCAATCGGAGGTCTTCAAAGGTCAACTCGACAGTTAATTAGATGGCATCTAGACTAAAATACACACGAAACAAAGCTACATATTATCGAGCCCATGCCTGGTATATTGTTTATTTTAGACTTTTTATAATTTGGATAAATGTTTTACATTGATATACATCAAATATGAGAATTTGAGTCAAATCGGTGAACATGAATTTGACAGCTAGTGCCCCTTTAACAACATATGATATAACTGTTTAACCATGTATAAATGTTTTTAGTGTCAGTTTCTAAAATGTCTTAAACTTAAATTAGGGACATTGTTTAACTTACAGGTTGTTTGTGGCAGATGCTCTTCCAAAAAAGTGCCTTTACGATATGACAACAATCATTTAAATCGTGTCTGTGATGACTGTTACCATCTCCTGCGGAATGATGAGGAAGAACCAGTCACACCAACTCATGATAAATCAAGCAAAAAGAAAAATATTTTACAGGTATATATATAACACTTAGGATAGACTCATGAATGTTTAACAAAATGGGAAAAAAGTTTTCATTTTCCATTTTATCGTCATAACCTAAAAGTGGCTGAGTGTTGCATTGAAAATTATTAAAAAACCCATTCAACAAACAAATGTATGATTAATTTCTATATGCACTAAAAGTTCTGTTCCTTTGTTTTTTGGGAATGATAGTATGTGTGCGGGGGTTTTATTTCATGAATGAATTCACTTTGTATGAATAAAAGGCATTACTAGTAATTGTCCTCTGCGTAATGCGTTGCAGGGGACATGGAAATACCAGGCATCCATCCGTGTGTCGTAATGTCCATGTGTCCGTCTGGTCTTTTTAGCGCTCTCAGGGGAACAATTCTTGCCAGATTTTGATAAAACTTTTACTATAGGTTAATATCAGCAATATCTCGGACAAGTTCTATAATGGTGGACGATCGACTTTTTTTGAAAGAGTTATGCACCTTGGAAATATGAAATATATGGTCTAGATTATTAGAAAAATACTACAGATCAAACTTTGAAAAGTCATTTTACATATTTCAAGAGGTTATATCTTTTTCTTTTCTGTATTATTATTAATATTAATGTTTTTAGGTATAAAACATTATCAGAAATGATTTTAATTTTATACATTATCATAAATATTTTTTCTTTCTTCAGATAAATGCCAGTGACCCCTCAGTACTCTCAGGATATTTACATTTAAGTACAGATAAAGGGAAAAGTTGGCACAGGAGATGGGTGGCAGTCCATCATAACTTTGTTATGTATACTTTTAAGGCTCACCAGGTATTTATATCTTCATACTTAGACTTCCATGTTAATAGCAGAAGTTTCCGTCATAGTTATAACTGCTTTTGATTTTGCCATTTGATAAATGACTTTCCGTTTTGAATTTTCCTTAGAGTTCGGTATTTTTGTTATTACTTTTTAAAATTGCATTGGATAATGTACTTGAAAATAAGGATATGTAGTTTAAACATATTCTATTGTTCAAATTAGGGACAAATGGATCAGACACAAGTTCTTGGACTTAGTAATATATTCTCCAAGGATATGTATGGTAAGTTTAATGAGAAAGACACCCAACAACATGAGTTAACTAAAATAAATAATCAAAGGACAGCATATGGTTTTGAAGGATGGATGATGTGACATCCGCAAACAGGCATATCCATATGCCATGTCAAGTTTACCTCTTCGTGGACATGTTGACAAGAGTATTTTGATTTTTTGTAGGATCCCTATGCTATTACAAGTTTACCCCTCCCTGGACATGTGGTAGAAGATGTAGATAAAGTAGAACATCTGGATAGGGAGAATTTATTTAAGATATCACACAAAAGAACAAATCTTTATTTGTCATCAGAGACCACAACAAGTAAAGAAAGGTATGTCAAACAATATATGTTGCTGATCATCTGCCAAATTCCATTAGAGGGGGGGGGGGTCGGACCTTTTTCGGACTCCGGGATCAGGTGTTTTTAAGCTCTGGATTACTGGATTGATCCTTTCAGGATCCGGGAATCCTATTTTCGAATTTCGGGATGTCAGGATTTAAATTTCTTTAAATTCAGGACCTCAAGATTTCATGTTTTTAAGCCCGGGATTTCGCGATCAGAACCCCTCCGACCCCCCTCATTAGATTTGAATAACTGTAGTCAACAATTAATTTTTAGCTCACCTGACCTGTAAACTTTTACAAAAATCTTCTCCTCTGAAACTACTGGGCCAAATTTGACCAAACTTGGCCACAATCATCATTGGGGTATCTAGTTTAAAAAATGTGTCCGATGACCCCGCCGACCAACCAAGATGGCCGCCATGGCTAAAAATAGAACATAGGGGTAAAATGTAGATTTTGGCTTATATCTCTGAAACCAAAGCATTTAGAGCAAATCTGACATGGGGGTAAAATTGTTTATCAGGTCAAGATCTATCTGCCCTGAAATTTTCAGATGAATCGGACAACCCGTTGTTGGGTTGCTGCCCCTGAATTGGTAATTTTAAGGAAATTTTGCCGTTTTTGGTTATTATCTTGAATATTATTATAGATAGAGATAAACTGTAAACAGCAATAATGTTCAGCAAAGTATGATCTACAAATAACCATTTTTCGTAAATTTTTGTAATCTTTTACAAAAATCTTCTCCTCTGAAACTACCAAAATTGAACACAATCATCATTAGGGTATCTAGTTTAAAAAATGTGTCCGATGACCCTGCCCGCAAACCAAGATGGCCGACATGGCAAAAAAATAATACATAGGGTAAAATGCAGTTTTTGGCTCATATCTCTGAAACCAAAGCATTTAGAGCAAATCTGATGGTATAAAATTGTTCATTAGGTCAAGATCTATCTGCCCTGAAAATTTCAGACCAATCAGGCAACATGTTGTTGGGTTGCTGCCCCTGAATTGGTAATTTTAAGAAAATTTTGCAGCTTTTGGTTATTATCTTGAATATTATTATAGATAGAGATAAACTGTAAGGAGCAAGAATGTTCAGTAAAGTAAGATCTACAAACACATCACCATCACCAAAACACAATTTTGTCATGAATCCATCTGTGTCCATTGTTTAATATGCACATAGACCAAGGTGAGCGACACAGGCTCTTTAGAGCCTCTAGTTTTAGCGGCAAAAAAAAAGGGTATTTGAGATCAAGTTTCTGTTTTTATCAATGTAGCTTTATGGTCTGCAAGGGTCCTTGGTGGCTGAGTGGTCTTAACACAAAATGATTCTAATAAAAATCCCTTAATAAGTAAAAAAAACTTGGTATACAGGTCTTGTGTTGGTCTTTGTCCTTTTTGTATTTTGCTACATTTTAATTTGACTCCATGTCGTAGAACTCTTTTAGTTTGTACTTCAAGAAAAACAGAAAGTAAGACAGCAACACATACTTGACACAGGTTCCTGGCTTAGGATCAGTACAAAAAAAAATTTGTAAGGGTTCCGCGGAACCCAGTGTCTCGCCTACTTTTGCTCTTAATCGCAGACTCAACAAAAATGAGGAAAAAAATTAATAAAAATATTCCTCTCTATACTATCTTTTGATTGTAAGTAGCTTCTGTCCAAGTTTGGTAAAAATCCAGGATAGTTTATGAATCTAATAAATGTTTTAAAAACTTAAACTGCAGACTGTATCCATGTTAATTTGAAGAAAAACTAAGTCCATTTATAAGTAAAATAAGGAAAAAATGGAACAAAATTTTAACAAAATTTCCTTCTAGATACTAGCTTTTAATCATAAACAAGCTTCTGTCCAAGTTTGGTACAAACCCAGGATAGTTTAAGAAAGTTGTTAAAATTTTATAAACTTTAACCACAGAGTGAATGTAATGTTAACTGGCAGAAAAACTAAGTCCATTTATAAGTAAAATACTGAAAAAATGATTTTTTTTTTACAAAATTTACTTCTGGATACTATCTTATGATCATAAACAAGCTTTTTTCCAAGTTTGGTAGAAATCCAGGATAGTTTAAGAGAGTTATTAAAATTTCAAAAACTTTAACCACAGAGTGAAAGTAATGTTTCCTGGCAGAAAAACTAAGTCCATTTATAAGTAAAATACGGAAAAAAAGGAATTTTTTTTTTACAAAATTTACTTTTGGATATTTTCTTATGATCATAAACAAGCTTCTGTCCAAGTTTGGTAGAAATCCAGGATAGTTTAAGAAAGTTATTAAAATTTTAAAAACTTTAACCACAGAGTGAATATTTGTGGATGCCGCCGACGACAACGCTGAAGACGGAATGTAGGATCGCTATATCTTGCTTTTTCGACAAAAGTCAAAGGCTCGACAAAAAGAGCACTGTTCAAAGGTTATGAGCTAGAACAGGCAACATATTAACCTCTGAACCTAGGTTATAAAAAGTAATAAAATAACCAATCTCATTAAAATACAGTTCCTGTGTCCATATTTTTTAAATTTTGGTTCATTTATTTCTTTCAGAGTTTAGAGTGACCTCAATTTTTGCTTAACCAGTATACATTATTATTTAGGGGCCAGCTGAAGCCTGCCTCTGGGTGCAGGATTTGCTCGCTGTGTTGAAGACCCATTGGTGGCCTTTGGCTGTTTTCTGCTCTTTGGTTGGTTGTTGTCTCTTTGACACATTCCCTGTTTCCATTCTTAATTTTATTTTGCTTACAAGGATCAGACAACACTCAGTTATTCTTTCTGTTCTGGTAATTATTACATTAGCCTATGATATTTCAACCTTTAAATTTTTGAAGGTGTGTATCATTACAACAAATCCAGAGAATTCCAAAATGGATCTTAAACAAAGTATAATTCAGCATTGTCAGATCATTATAATTGTGAACACAGGAACTGTACTTTAGATTCAGAAATTATTGTGTGAATTTATTATTGTGATTATTTAAGAATAGACAAAAATGCAAGATTAATTATTGTGATTTCAGAAAAATCTGCATTCATATTTATGTATCAAATTCAGAATGCGAGGTCTTATGCGATACACACCTAGTCACGTTATTCGCATCAATAAAAACCTCGCAATAATTTCTGAATTTACAATATTTCAATCGGATCAGATGCTAAAATATATTACCAGTACTCTAAAAATCAGCTGATCTTTTTAATGGCAATATGTATATCTGTATTGAAGAAAGTCATGTATATCTTGTTTTTTTATAGATGGATGTTCGTATTGTCCAAAGTTGTAATGGCTGAAATTCCTGAAGATGTAGAAGACATTTCTAAAAGGGACTCCTCCCATTCATCATCTAGTAACGAATTTTATGAGAACACTGAAAGTGAACAGTCACATTTATAGCAGTAGTTATGTTACATAGTTTATCAGGGGTGTTTTTAAATGTTGGTTTTATTGCGAACCAAATGATACTTTTCCACAGATTCACTTGAAGGTTACCTGTTGATTTAAACTTTTGCAAGTTCATTTGTCCCATTGAATAAATACAATATCTATTGTTCTCTGTGTAGTTTATTCACTGTGACCTTTAAATTTCTTCTAAGAGAAATCTATCACTCATTGATTAATTTACCTGAGTAAAATAATTATCTTATAAATAGACAAAATTACATGTTTTGTACTCAGAAACTGCATGTGATGTCGCATTTATTCAATATTAATAATATATTTTCAATCTGTTGATTGTAAACATTGATTCAGTTGATTTCTGACAAAACTTTAAACATTGTTCCTACTAAATTTTTTTTTTTTTTTTTGTGTTTGAATTAAGGCCTTCTTAAAAGTATTCTATTACTAAACAGAACAAATAATGCAAAAAATAGGAACAATGCTAAAAATGTTGTCAGAAATCAACGTTTTATGATTAAATCAGTGTTTATATTGAACAGATTGAAAATATATTATTGATATTGTGTAAACACAACATCACATGCAGTTTTTGAGTATAAAACATGTAATTTTGTCTATTTATAAGATATTTTTTTTACTCAGGTAAGTGAATCAATGAGTGATAGATTTCTCCTAGAAGAAATTTAAAGGTCCCAGTGAATAAACTACACAGAGAACAATAGCTATTGTATTTATTCAATGGGACAAAAGAACTTGCAAAAGTTTAAATCGACAGGTAACCTTCAAGTGAATCTGTGGAAAAGCATCATTTGGTTCGCAATAAATTGTTAAAAAGATTGAACTCATGATATAGTATGCTTGCATTCTGAATGAGAAGCATCATAGATTGAAACGAGGACCACCTATATTTTATAAAGATCATGATCTCATAATTCATTGACTAACTCTGTCTCAAACTTGTTAATCAAAATACTTATAACTATGATACTTAAGATTTTTCTATTTTTACACAAGAAAAATATACCTAAACGTACATCAATTATTTTAGAAGCATATATGCTTTCTTTTGCCATAGAAATAGCCAGTGATAAATCATCAATATATATAGATCTTGTTTAATGAGAAGATTCTGTCACTAACATGTATGGGGACATTTATAGAGACTTTACTTAATATAATAATGACTCCGAAGAGAATATGGAGCATATAATAATGACTACGAAGAGAATATGGAGCCACGTCCTTCAAAAAATAGAAAATTGTTTAACGAAACACTAAAGGAATAACCAGAGTCGTTGTGAAAAGGTCTGTTACTGTTATTAGCTATATACTTAATGTGATACTCTTTTGTTGTTTTATAGATTATTATGTTTTGTTTTGTTGTTATGAAATATTTTAGTGCTTTTAAACATTATTTTATTATAATAATTATTATCATTATAGTGTCATTGGTTATGAAGTAAATTTTAAAAATGTTAACGATCTTATTCAAGATTTAATGTTTAGAGACTTCTTCTATCATGAATGTCCAGTTAAATAGAATGAAATAGATAAAGTTTAAGGTCTTTTGTTTTACAGAAGAAATGGTACTGTTAATAACTGTTTAAACTTTAGTCCATACCGTGGATTCATTTATTTTCGTGGATTAAAGACAAAATGTATTTTCATGTATATTTTATTTCTTGGTTTTGCCAAAGTGTGCATACAAGCCTATAGCAAATTCGTATTTTGTTGAACATTTACGAATCGTGGTTGACCTTTTCCCACAAAAATAGATATCTGACGAATAATAATGAATCCACAAAATATAAAGTCCATCAAATCCACAATACTATTATATAAATGTTACAAGAGTTATACCCCCTGAATGGGATGTCCTATTTTAACTGAGTTAACAATTTCTTCATTTATATGTATGAACAAGAACTTCACCAGTTAATGAAAATATGTTTGTGACTGAAACATTTATACTGTAAAACATTTGACCATAAATAAGGTATGGAGCATAAGACTTCAGTTATTATTCTTTGTCATGTATTTAATTTGGCAAGATAGATAAGGTTAGGGCTTTCCCACAAATGTTTGCATGTGTTTAATATTTTCAAGGGATTTAATTAGTGATTGAATAAGTGGAATAAATAAAAACAGATAAACTTGTACGGGTAGGGAATTAGATTGTTCAGGTTTATCCGAAATACTCCATAAATTTTTCATAAAATTCCCATGAAATATATTGCTGGAGGTTAAAGTTATACAGTTACTTTTTCACACTTTTCCACAGATAAAATAGAATTGCCTTTGAATCTATGAATATTTTGTATTTTTCTGTTGTTTGTGACTCTAAATCAAAACTTTTGTTGATTGCTGATGTCTGAAATCACTATGATCCTCCAAAATAATACTGCCTTGCTATAAAGACACTGAAATGATAATTTTGTGTGTTGGAAGTCATTTTCATGAAATTATGAAACAATATAAAAGTGAACATAGGATTATACAAAATCTGCATGAATTTTAGTGAGAAAATCTCTGCAAAGACTGAAATTTGGCTTAATATGAGATTTGTATATAAATAAACTCCATGTGTAACACTAATTTAATTATTTTATGATGAAAATTGCTTCATATTTCTATTCAGATCAAATGATCAAGATCCCAAGATGGCTGTAAAAGATATTAGGATAGAGTTTAGTAGCTTATAGTTGTCTATCTCAAGTTAAAAATCTTGTTTTTGGACAACTGCTTTGCAAAATGTTGATTCAATTAGAGTAAATGAAAGCAGTTGTTTTGTTATAAATTCTTGAAAAGATGACATGCTCATAGGCATAATTTTGTCATGTGACCATGACGTCAACAATGTTTTTTCATGATTTACTCCTTAAACAGAATTTAGAATTAAATTATAAGGAATGACTGTAATATTTTTTCTGTCTATTCGATATAACCTCAAAAATGTGGTGCACACTTTTAAATAACCCACTACGCAGTGTGCACCACATTTTTGATGTTATTTCTTCATAGACAGAAAAAATATTAGTCATTCCTTAGATAATATCTTTGCAACAACATACATGCTTTGGAGGATCATGGTAAATTGAAGGCTCATTAAGTTTATAGTTATTGTATAATGAATGTAATATTGTTTTATATTTATTTTTGTTACGGAGTTAAGTGCTCTTGATGTACATTGTGTTCACTATTGTAAATTAATCTATTGTGGTTTTTGTTCAGAAATTTGTATTTTTATAGATTTTAATAATTGTTTTATTGCATTGAGACCAAGCTGTTTTATACATGGCTTATTACTTATTTTGCATCATAAAATAACATAATAGAATGGAAAGTACAAAATTTTATTCAAATTATGCCTAAATCAAGCATTTATCACAATCGAAACAAATTTAATTTTTAATTGAAAATGATAAATATAGATTTTACCACTGCATCGAGTGTGCTTGATTATTTCTCAACTTGAGACATTTAAATATTTAAGATTTGAATGTAGAGAGCTAAGAAATATCTTATTGCACACGATTTGGTGTTGAAATCTGTTTCTTTAATGATTTTAAACAATCTGAAGGCATCTATGATTTTAAACAATCTGAAGGCAGATACCATCTTTTTTTTTCAATGATTTACAAAAAAGATGTATTCTTTCTATGGATGTCATCAGGTATGGTCGCCTTTTTTTTGACGACACAAATGCAGACTCAAGAGGAAAGCATCAACCAAACCAATTATAAGCCTATTATCATATTTACCATCCATTGACAACCCTTGATTCATCTATTGTGTACAAAGACTGATTGTAAACATCATATCATAATAATTGTTTATAAACATCATCAACTAATAATGGTGCTAAAATAATACCATGCTGAAAAAATATGGTTTCAAAATAAAAATATTTGTAATACAGAACTCTTCTTTTACTGGGAAGTATAAAGGTAAAACATTTTATTATATACTTAGTAGTAAATACAGATAAATTGTATGTGTAATACAATCATTGGCAAGCGTGCTGTATCAGCCACCCGTGATGATATCGATATCAGCACGGTTGCAAAGGCTTTATCACACCTTTAATCTGTATGACGTCACGTCATCGATTGCAGTCACTGTTGCAAAGGCTTTATCAAACCCCTAATCTGTAGGACGTCATGTCAAACCTATAATCTGTATGACGTCATTTCAAACCTCCTTACCTGTATGACGTCATGTCACATGAAAAACAACTACGTGAGGTATATGTATATAATAAAGTGTATATGATATTGCTTGTTCAATATCACACACCGTATCAACCCTCAACCAATATAATCCCTCGAGCAAAGCTCTTGGGATTATATTGGTGTATGGGGTTGATACGGATGTGATATTGAAAAAGCCATATGATATTCTCTATTTATATGTTAATTGTCAGGCTTTAAGAGTCTGAAGTACAGAGTGGTAAAGTTTACTGCGGCTTGAAAAAATGAAGACAGTCATGATATTGAACTTTTGACTCTCACTGAAAAAAATACATGTACAATATACTACTACTGCTGTTCTTATACAGAAAGTTTTTGATGTACTTGAGCATTACTTTCTTTAATTTTTGTGGGGTGGGTTGGGAGGAAGTGATCTATTGGTTGTTTTTTTCTTAATTTTCAGGGTAAATTTGGTGCGTAAGTTTCTATAAACACTTCTATATACTTTATAGTAGTAAGGTTTATTGCACAAGAGGAATGATCTTATTTTCATTTTCATATTAATCCTTATTTCACATACCAGTATGTAAAGAGCTAAAACAGCTTTGCTTTAATATAAAAATGAGGTGGTATGATTCCCAATGAGCCAACTATCCACCAAAAAACAAATAATGTGGGTGTAAGCAACTGTAGGTCAACAATGAGCTAAATCCATACTGTATCGGTAGCTATAAAAGGTTCTGACATGACCAAATGAGAAAACCAATGGTCAGATTTATGACAAAACAACAAATGAAAAGAAAATATGACACACACCAACCATGTTAGTGAGTGCCCAACCCTTCTCCTAACCTTGAACAGTAGTGTAATATCACAACATAAGAAGAAACTGAAATCAGTTGGAAGGGATACTAATCAGATTGGCATGAAACACATAAAAAATAAATGTGGATAGTGTCCACATGTGGGCACAGATGATGCCCCCGCTTGCATATCATATAGTTATAAAGGAACATAACTGAAGAACGGTAAAAGTGACGCTACCCAAATTTGAACTTGATCTGAGTTTTGTGGTAATAAGCATTGTGTGTAAGTCTCATAACATTTGGTTGAGGCTAACTTAAGTAGAGAACAGAAACTAAAAATTCCGCAATTTTTCTATTTGTAAACACGCATAACTCTAAAACGGTTGTGTATAAGTTTTATAACATTTGGTTGAGACAAACTAAAAAATTCAGCAATTTTTATGTTTATAAAGAGACAGAACTCAAGAATGGTAAAAGTGTCGCCACCAAATTTCGTACTTAATCTGTATTATGTAGTAATAAGCATTGTGTATAAGTTTCATAACATTGCATACTAAAGTTAGAAAACGGAAACAAAAAATTTGTACTTGATCTTAGTTTTGTGGTAATGAATATTGTGTATAGGTTTCATAATGTTTGTTTGGGGCAAACTTAAGTTACAGAATTGAAACTAAAAATTTTGCAATCTTTCGATTTATAAAGGGGCATAACTCAATAATGGTTAAAGTGACACTACCCAAATTCAACTCGATCAGTGTTTTATCAGTGGAAGTCAAAATTAAACATTGCAGTGTATATAGCATTGATTGTAGTTGATTCAACTATAATCATGGACAAAGGAAGATAACTCCAATTTTAATAAACTGCTTCGCTGAGCGCAGCTGATACGCCCGCAGAGGTCCAACCCTGAACAGTTGGGGCAAAAATGGACACAATATTCAAGCTTGATACAGGTCTGAATTTGGATTGTAATTAAATATTTGACATATTATAGGTTTCTGAATAAATGTAGTCAAAGAACTTGAAATTAGTTATATGAATTGAATTTATATTCAATTAAAGATTTCTTGCTGTTGTGCAATACACTGTGCTGTTGCGCAATACTTAGTAAATCTGTTGTCAGACTATAAACAAATAAAGTTCAATTAATTCTCAATGTCATATTAGAAATTTATGAAAATGTAAAGGGAGCTTACATCAATAGATATAAACAATTCACCAAAGTTTCATGAGAATTGCTGACAGCATTTTGGAGTTATTGTTCAAAAACTGGAAAATCCCCCCCTTTTTTAATGAATAAAAAAACCCTGTAACCCGGAAACGTCAAAGCTAAAATATATAAAAATCGAAAGGGAGCTCATGTCAATAGATATAAACAATTCACCACAATTTCTTGCAAGTTGGTGAAAGCATTCTTGAGTTATTGTCCGAAAACTGGAAAATCCCCCTTTTTTTAATGAATAAAACCCCATAACTCGGAAACATAAAATCTAAAATATATAAAAATCGAAAGGGAGCTCATGTCAATAGATATAAACAATTCACCACAATTTCTTGCAAGTTGGTGAAAGCATTCTTGAGTTATTGTCCGAAAACTGGAAAATCCCCCTTTTTTTAATGAATAAAACCCCATAACTCGGAAACATAAAATCTAAAATTTATAAAAATCGACAGGGAGCTCATGTCAATAGATATAAACAATTCACCACAATTTGTTGCAAGTTGGTGATAACATTCTTGAGTTATTGTCCGAAAACTTGAAAATCCCCCTTTTTTTAATGAATAAAACCCCATAACTCGGAAACGTAAAATCAAAAATTTATAAAAAATGAAAGGGAGCTCACGTCAATAGATATAAACAATTCACCAAAGTTATATGCAAATTGGTTTAATCGTTTTTGAGTTAATGTCCGACATGTTGACGACAGACGGACAGACGGACGGACGGACAGACGGACAACGGTATACCATAATACGTCCCGTAAACAGGCGTATAAAAATTACTTGATATTTAGATGAGAATAAAAGTTTTGCAATTTTTCAATTTATAAACTCTAGAACAGTTAAAGTGACGCCACCAAATTTCAAACTTGATCTGTGTTTTGTGTTAATAAGCATTGTGTATTAGTTTCATAACATTTGGTTGAGGGAAACTTAAGTTAGAGAACGGAAACTAAAAATTTTGCAATTTTTCCATTTATAAAGGGGCATAACTCTAGAACGGTTAAAGTGACGCCACCAAAATTCAAATTTGATCTGTGTTTTGTGGTAATAAGCATTGTGTATAAGTTTGATAACATTTGGTTGAGGCAAACTTAAGTTAGAGAACGGAAACTAAAAATTTTGCAATTTTTCCATTTATAAAGGGGCATAACTCTAGAACGGTTAAAGTGACACCACCAAAATTCAAACTTGATCTGTGTTTTGTGTTAGTTAGCATTTTGTATAAGTTTCATAACATTTGGTTGAGGCAAACTCAAGTTAGAGAACGGAAACCAATTTTGGGACGTAGGGACGGACGTACGTACATACAGACGGACAAGGGTAAAACTTAATGCCCCAACTGCTACGACGGGGCATAAAAATCTAACAAAACTACAAGATACAATGTCCCAATCTCATTTTGCAGTGGTTATAGATGGTAAATTCAAGCAAGATGTCGACAAGATACCCCAGTACAAGATTAATCATTCAGAGGACCATACCTTGGAATTAAGTGCTGAAATCAAAGGCCTCAAACAGAATAATTTTTTGTGGCAGATTAAATACACTTGACCACTCATAAATACTGGTAGTCAATTTTTATATCTTGAAATTTTGCATGCAGAAAAGCATCTGAATTTATGTGATCGTAAAAAGGATCAATGAAATTATTAAAAAAATGCTCCGCTGGGGCGCAGCTTGATACGACCCCAGAGGTCGAACCCTGAACAGTTGGGGCAAGTATGGACACAACATTCAAGCTTGATACAGCACTGAATTTGGATTGTAATTAAATATTTGACACAGCATAGGTTTCTCACACAGAATGAAAGTGGTCTAAGAACTTAAAAATTTTTAATTTACCTATTCAAACCATTTCATTATTATTTGCTTTTATATATAAATCAGAAATAACCAATTTAAAATGGAAAATTTTAAAGAAAAAAAAGGAAAAAAAAATACCCCCCCCCCCCCCCAAATTTTTTGAACCCCCTTATGATTCATCACCCCCAAACTCAATCCCAGCTTTCCCTTTGTGGTATGGTACCTTGCAGTACAATTTCGGGGAGATCCATACACTTGAACACAAGTTATTGTCTGGAAACTAGAAAAATGCTTGTTTTTTGGCCCCAAATTCCTAAACTTTTAGGGCAATTACCCCCAAACTCAAACCCAGCTTTCCCTTTGTGATATAGAATCTTGCAGTACAATTTCATAAAGATCCATACACTTACACACAAGTTATTGTCCTGAAACTAGAAAAATGCTTGTTTTTTTGCCCTTTTATGGCCCCTAATTACTAAAATTTTGAGGGAATTACCCCCAAAATCAATCCCAGCCTTTCCTTTGTGGTATGGTACCTTGCAGTATAATTTCAGAGAGATCCATACACTTGAGCATAAATTATTGTCTGGAAACTAGAAAAATGCTTATTTTTGGCCCCTTTTTGGCCCCTTATTCCTAAACTTTTTGGGCAATTACCCCCAAACTCAAACCCAGCTTTCCCTTTGTGATATGGAACCTTGCAGTACAATTTCATAAAGATCTATACACTTACACACAAGTTATTGTCCTGAAACTAGAAAAATGCTTGTTTTTTTGCCCTTTTATGGCCCCTAATTACTAAAATTTTGAGGGAATTACCCCCAAACTCAATCCCAGCCTTCCCTTTGTGGTATGGTACCTTGCAGTACAATTTCAGAGAGATCCATACACTTGAACACAAGTTATTGTCTGGAAACTAGAAAAATGCTTATTATTGGCCCCTTTTTGGCCCCTTATTCCCTAAACTTTTTGGGCAATTACCCCCAAACTCAATTCCAGATTTCCCTTTGTGATATGGAACCTTGTAGTACAATTTCATAAAGATCCATACACTTACACACAAGATATTGTCATGAAACTAGGAAAATGCTTGTTTTTTGCCCCTTTTTGGCCCCTAATTCCTAAAATTTGGAGGCGATTACCCCCAAAATCAATCCCAGCATTCCCTTTGTGATATGGAACCTTGTGGTACAATGTCAGAGAGATCCATACACGTACACACAAGTTATTGTCTGGAAGTTATAAAAATGCTTATGTTTGGCCCCTAATTCCTTAACTGTTGGTACCATAACCCCCAAAATCAATCCCAACCTTCCTTTTGTGGTATTGAACCTTATGGTAAAATTTCATTGAGATCCATTTACTTAAACTAAAGTTAGAGTGCGAAAACTAATGTGTCTTCGGACGACGACGACGACGACGACGCCAACGTCATACCAATATACGACCACAAAAAGTAGGGTTTGTTTTGAATGTAATTATTCATCATGTCACTTATATGACCCGGAAATGTGTTGCTGTTTAAGGCAAAAGGTCTGGTCAAAAAGATTGCATAAACTTCAATTTTTTTTCTGAAATGTCCTTTTCAGCCTTGGCACAACAAGTTATTTACATAATTTACAGGACAAGTCCTGACAATATGACCGTTTTGGAAGCCCTGAGGTCCAAGACCCAACTTCTCTGAAAAGGTAGATATAAAAACAAAGACAACCCAGAACAATACAAGGTCCAGCTTGTCTGACTTGGAACAGTCACAAAATGTTGTGGGGTAAACCAATTTTACATGCACACTTAACTTTTATATTTCCAAAAATATATAATGTTTGTCTCCTTTGAAGAAGTCGAAAAAGAGAGTCTTAGGTGTGGTGTTTCTAGCAGCCTCAACACTGTATTAGTTTGTGATTAGGGTCAGTTTATGGGGGAACCACTAGTAGAAGGTCAATAATATCTGGTACGCAGTTGTATTAGCATTGCACATCTCATTTCCATGGAACTTATTTGGCCCTGCCCCCACAGTCATGGTCTTTTGATTTTGAATGTTTTGCTTAATTTACATGTATTAGTTTATGATTAGGTCAGTTCAAGGGGAACCATTAGTGGTAGGTCAACGATATTCCATATGAGGATGTATTAGCATTAACACACCTCATTTCCCTGGAGATTATTTGGCTCCTCCCCCGCAGTCATGGTCTATTGACTTTGAATGTTTTGCAGTTTGTTCATGTTATCAAAGTTTGTAATTAGATTAAAAATGAACCACTAATGTCATTTGAATGTTAAGTCAATGGTGTTTGGTATGTAGCTGTAAAAGTATTCACAAGTCTCATTTCAAGGGAGGTTATATATCCCCATCCCCTAATCATGGTTCATTGACTTTGAAAATTTTGCACAGTTTACAATTTAAGAGTTTGTGCTTGGGCAAGTTTTAAGGAAACCAATTATGATGAGTCAATTATGATGAATCAATGGTAATTGGTATTCCGTTTCATAAGCATTGGCATTTCTCATTTCCATGGAGGTTATTTGGCCCTGCACCTTCAGTCATGGTTCATTGACTTTGAATGTTTTGCATATTTAACATGTATAGATATTGCTATTTTAATTTCAACATTTGTAATATACTATCAAAATTACAAAATAAAATGCTTCGCTGGGGCGCAGCTTGATACGACCGCAGAGGTCGAACCCTGAACAGTTGGGGCAAGTATGGACACAACATTCAAGCTTGATACAGCTCTGAATTTGGATTGTTATTAAATATTTGACACAGCATAGGTTTCTGACACAGAAAGAATGTGGTCTAAGAACTTGATTTTTTTTAATTTACCTATTATGGTCCAATGTCCAAAATCAAAATACATGGTTAGATTCAGCATATCAAAGAACCCCATATATTCAATTTTTGTTAAAATCAAACAAAGTTTAATTTTGGACCCCAACTTGGACAAACTTGAAAACTGGGCCCATAATCAAAAATCTAAACACATGTTTAGATTCAGCATATCAAAGAACCCCAAGAATTCAATTTTTTGCTAAAATCAAACGAAGTTTAATTTTGGACCCTTTGGACCTTAATGTAGACCAATTTAAAAAACGGGACTTAAAATTAAAAATCTAAATACACGGTTAGATTTGGAATATCAAAGAACCCCAATAATTCAATTTTTGATGAAATCAAACAAAGTTTAATTTTGGACCCTTTTGACCTCAATATGAACCAATTTGATAACGGGGTCCACAAATAAAAAATCTAAATACATGGTTAGATTCAGCATATCAAATAACCCCATATATTCAATTTTTGTTGAAATCAAACAAAGTTTAATTTTGGACCCCAACTTGGACCAACTTGAAAACTGGGCCCATAATCAAAAATCTAGACACATGTTTAGATTCAGCATATCAAAGAACCCCAAGAATTCAATTTTTGTTAAAATCAAACTAAGTTTAATTTTGGACCCTTTGGACCTCAATGTAGACCAATTTAAAAAACAGGACCCAAAATTAAAAACCTAAATACACGGTTAGATTTGGAATATCAAAGAACCCCAATAATTCAATTTTAGATGAAATCAAACAAAGTTTAATTTTGGACCCTTTTGACCTCAATATGAACCAATTAGATAACGGGGTCCACAAATAAAAAATCTAAATACATGGTTAGATTCAGCATATCAAAGAACCCCATATATTCAATTTTTGTTGAAATCAAACAAAGTTTAATTTTGGACCCCAATTTGGACCAACTTGAAAACTGGGCCAAAAATCAAAAATCTAAATACATGTTTAGATTCAGCATATCAAAGAACCTCATATATTCAATTTTTGCTAAAATCAAACAAAGTTTAATTTTGGACCCTTTGGACATTAATGTAGACCAATTTGAAAACTGGACCCAAAATAAAAAATCTAAATACACTGTTAGATTCGGCATAACAAATAAATGTGATCAAAGATTTTACAAATCTAATGCGCCATACTGTGCAATTAAAGATTACTTCTTGAAATTTTTCAATATTTGAAATTTGAAAAAAAATAATATTTGAAGAATAATTCTTTTTAATTTCTGAAATCTGAAATGAGAAAAAATTGGCCCCCCACAATTTCTTTTTATCCCCCCCCCCCTTTTTCCCCCAAAAAAATTCTTTCCCTCAAGATATGGTCATAATCTCAATTCAAATTTCCAATGGAGTTGGCAACCATAATTACCCATTTAAATTTACCATAGTGCTAACTTAATCTATTTTATAATAGAATTAATAAAAATATAGTGTCAAATCTTTCATATGGATTTTTTTGTAAAAAAAAAAGATGAAAACATTTGCAGATATTTTTACTGGTCTTCCTTTATAAATATGCATTTCTTTAAACATAATTTAAAAGTAGTGTAAGGGAAGTAACCAAAACGTTGTATTTGGATTACCTCCCTTACACTGTTTTAGATTATCTTTATTGTTCATTAACCATTACTTTATACATAATTTAAAAGCAGTGTAAGGGAGATAATTTCAATGATGTATTTGATTTATCTCCCTTACACTGCTTTAAATTATGTTTTGTACTAAAGTATTTGTCCATAAACCAGGACAATCTTGTTTTTCCCCCTTTTTTGCCCCTAATTCCTAAACGGTTTGAGCCATAACCCCCCAAAGCAAATCCTAACCATCCCTTTGTGGTATGGAAACTTGTAGTATAATTTCAGAGAATTCCATACACCGTTCCACAGTTATTGTCTGGAAACTAGAAAATGCTCATTTTTGGCCCCTTTTTGGCCCCTAATTCCTTAACTGTTGGTACCATAACCCCCAAAATCAATCCCAACCTTCCTTTTGTGGTATTTAACCTTATGGTCAAATTTCAAAAAGATCCATTCACTTAAACTAAAGTTAGAGTGCGAAAACCAATATGTATTCGGACGACGACGCCGGACGACGACGACGCCGGACGACGACGACGACGACGACGACGCCAACGTCATACCAATATACGACCACAAAATTTTTTTGCGGTCGTATAAAAATGAGACACATGTCTGTGTCAATAGTTTGTTATATTTGTATGCCTTGTCTACGCATGATGCATCCCCCTCAAGATAGATTTCTGTTTAATTACAGTTTACTGCATATAACTATTTCCTCTATGTTAATTTGTGTCTAGGTGTATGTCTTATTGACATATATCCCACATCTTCATTGAATCGTAGATAATAAAAAACAACATTATTAAAATTCATTTAATAACAAAAACACAACACATGCCATGGATAATAAATAGCATTCAACACTTTCATTCCCCTCATTTTTACAATAACAACTTCCAGTAACCTTGGTAACAGTTCTAAGGTAAATACCAACAGAAATCATAAATACGGTTTTGATAATCTGCATACAACTATCAGATGATAAGTTCTGATTACATTCTAAAAAATTCAAAAATTGATTATCTACTAGACTGTAAGCATATACACATAAATTAGTGATAAAGTGGTGAACTTCATCTAGATACTGCTTTCCTCTTATTTCTCAAAACCAAAAAAGATATTTGGGAAAATTTTGTTTCTTTACAAAAAAGAGTAGGAAGGGCTAAAAATGTTACTGCACCTTCTACACATAGACCAAAATTTGTTGATTTACAAAAACCAAATTAAACATCAAAACATTTCAAGGAATGTATAATGAAGTATTGGTCAACTGTAAACAAGCATATTTCCATGGTTACAGAATGTTAAATCATGTTGATTTTCTAGATAGCCTGTTGATATCTCTGTTATTTCTACAACACAAAACTGTTCATTTAAAGAAACATTACAATTCTTTATTCAGAGAACTTCTATATAATGAATGTCAATTAAAACTTTCATTCATAATTTGAACTGAGGTAAAATTATAGAGTAATGGCAGTTATGAAGCGAAAAACCAGCTAAAAATACCAATGGATGTTCTATGATAAACAATAAAGACTCTGAAAATCCACCATTTTACATATTTTCCATATAAATTATTAATATAGATTGCCATCTGTGAAGAAAATGTAAATTTTAATAAATAAACCCTTTATCAAATTGAGCTCATTAGAGGAGTTTAGAAACTAAGTGTGCAAGCTTATATAAGACTTCTATCTGCTTATGCTTAGGGCTATTCAAGAATTAACCGCAAGGGGCATAAGAGGCACTTTTTTTAGACCCAAACCACCCATATTATAAAATTCTTACACATTCTATTGGAAAAAACAGCTATACACAATTAATTAATTTTAATGTCTCCCCGCTTTTTCCAATACGACCAATTTTGGAACTGCCCTTTTTATTGTGTTATACAATCTAGAATTACTTTGAGAATGGTCTATAGGCTAATATTTTTCTATTTTATTCTTTTACAATAACAGCACTTAAAATGGATAACTCTTGCTCACTCCGTCTGTTTTCTGATTTTTTTTAATTTGATTATTAAGCAATTTCTGCAGCATAATATACATCTATTACTAGTGCACTGATTAGATACAGAAAATACTATCTGCATCAGTCTTTAGAACTATCAGAAAAATTGTGATGCTTGTGTAATAAATTGAGATATCCACTAACAAATACATAAAACTATTTTAACATAAATAATAAATTATCATTCATCACATTCACAACAAATGTATTAAATATTTTAGAAATATTTACAATTGATTAATAAGCTACATACAGAAGCAAAAAATGTAAATATGACAATTTAATAAAAAAAAATTCTTGGCTTTGCCAACTTAATCATTAATGTAAAAACTAAATGCAAAGATTAATGTTTGACATGATTTATCATCTTTAGCATGATTTATATATCCTATGATTAATCATGTTTAGCATGATTTATATATCCTATGATTAATCATGTTTAGCATGATTTATATATCATATGATTAATCATGTTTAGCATGATTTATATATGGTATATCCAACACTGGAAATACATTAAAAAATGCCAATTAAAAATGTTTAAGACAGAGACGGTATGAAAAGGCCATTTTTTACCTGTTGATTTTGAAAATCAGATATGCATCTATAAAATAACATCCTTTTAATATTTACATTTGTCTGTCAGATATTTTAATTTTGTTAATATCATTAGCTATTTTACCTTTTTTGGTCAAATAGGTTCATTATGACACATTTTCTTCATAAAAAATTATTCCTCTACAAAAACATCCAAATTATATTTTTATTCACTTATCAGTAAATCTAGCATAATTTTGAAAAAAAAAACATGAATTTTACTAATTTTGCAATTTTTCAAATAATGGCTCTAATCATATTTCCTCCTCACAGTCACTATGTTTATTTCTCTGAAATCAATGCAGAACCAAATCATGTTTATATAACCAGTGCATGATCAAATAAAATGAAAATAATGTAATTTCATATATAACCAATAACTTACAATATTCTGTACCCACAATATTAAAATGACCAACTATAACATGGAAATATTTTAGAAAAGAGATTATAATCACATATAAGAGAGACACGAAAACACTTCAACATCACATACCAGTATATAATATTGCACATTTAAAATATCAACACTTTTGATGTTATACTCAACATTTTACGATAAATGAGACAAAATCAAGATCTTCCCTTCAAAACATCATGTGTTTGATTTCAACTAGATAAACAAAAATATTAACAACTTCTTTTAACAGTCAATGTAGTAATGTTCCGCTTGTTTCATAAACTTTGACCTTTATCTATAAATCTTTGAGGTCTGTCCTACTTAAATTATCTATTTATAATTGCATTTGATTATAGTCTAAGTAAAAATAAATAAAGTATTTATAAACATGATAAAGTAATATGATTGATTGACTGATTGATTGTTGGTGTTTAAGGTACATAACACTACAGGGAGATAACTCTGTAAAAATCAGCAGAACGTTTTAATCATGTGCTATTGTTAAGGAAATAATAAGCTTCTCAATGATCAAAATTAGTGTTTGTCAAACTGCTATATATCCAATGAAATTTTTCCGATAAAGTGTGTGGTTCAAATTGTTTGACATTTTTATATTTTTGTCAAAGGGTCAAAGTAAATATTTTGTCAAAATTTTATGAAAATTAAACGAGCCAAGTTAATTTTAGTCAAGGTGTTTGGTACCACCTTAACAACATTTTCAACACACTTGACTCTATCATGGCTGCCATTTTTTATTAGTGAAGGAAGCCAGACAACCACAACCTTAAACTAAATTTCAGTATGAGAATTACTTGTTATTTTAACAAACAATTATTAAGAAATATTCATACAAAAAATTTAAAGTACTTGTACATATCAAAATCAGTTTACAAATGTATAAAAATTACAATACTAGAGCAATTTTAATCAATTTGCCTTTACATCAAAGCTGAACTATTTGAAAAAGAAATTATAAAAAATCGCTTGAGTAAACATTTAACCCTTACATAACCAGAAAAGAATAAAAATGTTCAATTTTTAAAAAAGCTACTTCTTTAAGAGATCAAACATTTTGGAATGAAGTATTTAGTAACATTTTTATCACAATTAATTCTGATTATGAAATATTTACAAATGTTGCAATGAGATATGAATTTATTTTTCCTTTGAGGAAATAATGAATACAGACCTATATGCTATAGAGACCTTTAAACTACATTAGAGATTTTACAAAACTGTATGTTAATTGCTTACGTCTATGATTTCTTCTTGAATGTGGCATTAATTAAATAGTTAGCAGGTTAATCCTTTGCTGTGTGTTTTATAAATCAGAACCCAGATTTTTATACTTATAAATAAAATGTGATATATTTTCCACTGTACACAAACCAAATTATCTAACTTCCAAAAATTCACAAAATAGGATATTAAGAATGGTGGGAAATGCTTGATTTATCTACACAAAAAATATTCATATATCTACAGCAATAACATAAGTACTTGTATTCTTTCTTCTAAAACAGCATACGTCAGATCAATTACTCACATTTTCTTGTGTCGACATATATAAAAAAAAACATGGTTCTTTTTCTATTTATTTGAGTATCAGCATGGTACAAGTATGCTGAATTCTGCGATTCATTTAACTTGAAAAAGTCGGTCATCAACAGCAAACTAGTTTATTAGAAGGAGTTTCACCTTTTTGATTGATGAGCGCTAATAAATTGTGCACCTGTACAGAGACAAAACATATCAATTTTGTAAGCATATTTCGTAATTGGTACTACTTGAACAATATTGCTACATATTTGTTTTAATAAACTAATATAGTTACAATTAAAACTTTCGAATTTTATTCTGAATTCTTATTTTAATCTATATTTTCAAAAATCTGTTAAAAATTTATTAATTTCATTACCATGCATTGCAATTTGCAGCACCTGGCTATTTCAACCTCCTGAAAGTTTTTTTATATTACAAATGCCTATACAGTGAGACCAATAGGAATTTTTCCTTCAGGTGACAGCATTAACATTTGACGATGATTGGCACCTATATTTTGACTTAGTTTAAAGCTTTAATGACAATCATCTAACAATAATCTCCCTGAGCTGATCAATGTCACGTGATAACTCTTCAGATTTCTAGAAAGTCTTTCAACAATGTTTGACGTCTTTTTTCTGCAACATCCATTTGATTTTCTAGGTCCTGAAATAAACATATAAAAAATTAAAGAACCTTAGTGAGCGCGCTCACATACCCCACGTCCCCACATTGTCACTGGAGAAATAAACTAACTGTAAGAAAAAAAAATTGTATAAGAAAAAAAAATTGAATCATAATTTCCTGTCGATATGCACATCTACATAGTATGTCCTTATTATCTACAAAGTTTCATGAAATTCTGTTGTGTGGTTTCAGAGGAGTTGCAATGACAAACTGTTGCAGTAGTATATTGAAGCAAATAAGTTCAAAGGGGCCTAATTCCTAGAAAAAAAATTGAATCATAATTTCCTGTCGATATGCACATCTACGTAGTATGTCGGAAGGACGGGTCAAAAACATTATACTCTCCGCAACTCGTTGCGTGGGGTATAATAGGTTTTCATTAACAACTGATATACTGATTTCATCTTTTGAGATATCAATACAGAAAGGTTTATGAAAAATAAAATATGTGCAGGGGTTACGACACCAGGCAAAGTGAGCGACAAAACCAACCAATGATTCCTGACTTCGCTTTAAAGAAGCTCCAAGGAGAAGTTTATGTCATGTACATGTATTGCCAATCATGTTTTTGGTATGCTTGCACTTTTGTTATCCTTTCTGCCGGTTTTATGTAGTTAAGTACTTTTTCATTACTGATTTTATTGTATGTTCCTTAATGTACCTTATCAATTATTGATGATATGCCTGTCTCACAATTCAGTTAGAATGAATATTGTATGTAAAATAATACAGGTTATTGAATAAACATTACCAAGTGTAAAAATTTCTGATAAGGATTTATGAAATCATACTTGAGCTATTTTGAGACATGAATAATTGCTTAGTTTTTTACAATTGCTCTGGAACAACCAAGATGAAAGTCTTCAAAAAGTATCAGATTCTAGCTCATCATTTGGTAAAGTTCGAGGTAAATCCTTCAAAGCCTCTTCATATTAACGTGCGACATGTGAAAAATTTATTTTGAACAATTATATCAATACTTTGTTAAGCAGGTTTTTATACTTTCTTTACATTTCAAAAGCTTTCAAAGAGATTAGCCCATTTTATCAAGAATTTCTTTTTGTAACCGTTTTTTTTTCAAGATTATTTCCAAAATCTGTGATCATCAGTATTTTTTAGGTTTTTTTTGTAAGGACATGATTCTATGTAGAAATTCCTTATTTGCATTAGAGCTAAATTCCTAATGCTTATAGAGTAAGACTTTGGTTGGCTTGCTTGCTTTGTTTGTATAAATGTTTGCTCAATAATTGTAATTAAGATTGCCATCTGCAAAGTTGCAAACAATATAAATAGGCGGAGATAACCGGTTTAACACCACCTATTTATATTGTTTGCAGATGTCAATCTTAATTACAATGCTTGAGCAAACATTTATACAACTGTTTAGCTCCGCCTATTTATATTGTTTGCAGATGTCAATCTTAATTACAATGCTTAAGCATACGTTTATACAAACAAAGCAAGCAAGCCAACCAAAGTCTCACTCTACAAGCATTAGGAAATTAGCTCTAATTGTAAAATATAGACATGGATCTGTCAAAGTAGATATACACTTGTCTCTGCCATTTTACTCATACTCCCATTTGATTATTTATTGACCTTGACAAATATCAACTGGTATCATTTCGTGTTGAATAGTGACATTATGATAAAGCTTTTATATGGCTGTTTTTTTGTGAGATTATATGATTTTTTTTTACCCCTTTGCAGGTGACACAGAGAATAACTAACTACTAATAAATCTATTAAAACCATTCCAAAACACTTACCCCTCTGTCTGTAATTTCTGCTCTTTCTACTTTCCATGATAAGTTTTCTACTTCAGCTTCTAACTGAGCTTGTTGATATTCAAACTGAAGAAAAATCATTACAATTTTTATCAATATTGAATAAAAACTTCATTCATGAAGGCCAGTCATCATTCTAATTCAGAAAAGGTTTTTCATTTTTGGGGGGATAACCTGATTATATTGATAACACTTATGTTGTTATGAATACTATCAAAATAAAATGCTCTGCTGGGCGCAGCTTGATACGACTGCAGAGGTCGAACCCTGAACAGTTGGGGCAAGTATGGACACAACATTCAAGCTTGATACAGCACTGAATTTGGATTGTGATTAAATATTTGACACAGCATAGGTTTCTGACACAGAATGAATGAACTTAAAATTTTTTAATTTACCTATTCAAACCATATCATTATTATTTGCTTTTATATATAAATCAGAAATAACCAATTTAAAATGGAAAATTTTAAAGAAAAAAAAAGGAAAAAAAGGGAAAAAAAATCCCTCCCCCAAATTTTTTGAACCCCTTATGATTCATCACCCCCAAACTCAATCCCAGCTTTCCCTTTGTGGTATGGTACCTTGGGGTACAATTTCAGAGAGATCCATATACTTGAACACAAGTTATTGTCTGGAAACTAGAAAAAATGCTTGTTTTTAGGCCCCATTTTGGCCCCAAATGCCTAAACGTTTAGGGCAATTACCCCCAAACTCAAACCCAGCTTTTCCTTTGTGATATGGAACCTTGTAGTACAATTTCATAAAGATCCATACACTTACACACAAGTTATTGTCCTGAAATTAGAAAAATGCTTGTTTTTTGCCCCTTTTTGGCCCCTTATTCCTAAACGTTTTGGGCAATTACCCCCAAACTCAATTCCAGCTTTCCCTTTGTGATATGGAACCTTGTAGTACAATTTCAGAAAGATCTATACACTTACACACAAGTTATTGTCATGAAACTAGAAAAATGCTTGTTTTTTGCCCCTTTTTTGGCCCCTAATACCTAAAATTTTGAAGCAAATACCCCCAAAATCAATCCCAGCATTCCCTTTGTGATATGGTACCTTGCAGTGTACAATTTCAGAGAGATCCATACACTTGAACACAAGTTATTGTCTGGAAACTAGAAAAATGCTTATTTTTGGCCCCTTATCCCTAAACGTTTTGGGCAATTACCCCCAAACTCAATTCCAGCTTTCCCTTTGTGATATGGAACCTTGTAGTACAATTTCAGAAAGATCCATACACTTACACACAAGTTATTGTCATGAAACTAGAAAAATGCTTGTTTTTTGCCCCTTTTTTGGCCCCTAATTCCTAAAATTTTGAAGCAAATACCCCCAAAATCAATCCCAGCATTCCCTTTGTGATATGGAACCTTGTGGTACAATGTCAGAGAGATCCATACACTAACACACAAGTTATGTCTGGAAGTTACAAAAATGCTTATTTTTGGCACCTTTTGGACCCCTAATTCCTGTTGGTACCATAACCCCCAAAATCAATCCCAACCTTCCTTTTGTGGTATTGAACCTTATGGTAAAATTTCATAGAGATCCATTCACTTAAACTAAAGTTAGAGTGCGAAAACCAATGTGTCTTCGAATGACGAAAACGACGACAACAACGTCATACCAATATACAACCACAAAAATTTTTTTTAAAATAAATAGGAATTCTTTTCTTTAAATTAAGTAAACAACAGTTTGAAATAAAATTCTTGCTTTGATAATATACTTACAAGTTGTTTTCTGGCTCCTTTTTCCATAAAGTAAGCATATGGATATGTGTACTGTAGTGTGTATCTGCACTGTAAAGGAAAAACAAGCTCATGTTAAATGACTTTCTAAAGAAAAAACCATTTATATATAATATATCTTAGGCTGTCTTAGTTTTCTGCTTTTCCTCAGGAATGATTGAAATGAATAATTCAATATCTTTTTGAAATTAATTGCAAATTTAAAAAAAATCGCAGATTTTGATTTTTTTATATACTTTTTAAGGAAATTGTATCAGTATGATTTCCTGAAGTTCCCAATTATTTGATGTTGCAGTAAACAATCAACATTTAAATACTAACTTTTCTGAGAAGAGCTGCAGCATCTAACAAGTACTGCCAATCTATCCAGGTCCCAGCATTATTCATCACTTTCTCCTGAATTCTAGAGGTTATTTTAAGTAAAGTTTGTTCCTCCAACTCCAAACTCTTTGAATGATTTTCCCACTGAAATAGTTAAATGATAACATTGTAATGACAACTACATGCCTACCATACATTACCTAGTGGATGATAATAAGTGGAACTGAAGGAAAGTTTTGCATGCACACCTATAGACAAGTGCTGACATCCAAAAATCTCTTAACTATTGACATATTTAAATCATTAAAAGTAAATGAATGCTACTATTAATCTGTTAGGTGCACATGTAATTTTTACAATGATTTTAAATACAAAAAATGCTATTCTACTCAGTTTAATTTCTGAGATACAGATATAGTTCAAAAACTTAAAAGATGTCCATTGAAGTTGCATAATCTTGTTTTAGACAGACATATACAACTCATAACCAATCTTAATAAAATATATTTTGGACCTGTCAAGCAATATTAATGTTGACATGTCATACATATAACTTTGTCTGAACACTGCAATCTTAAAAATAAGGCCAAGACTATTTGACATACTTCAGGCAAATTCACATTACAGCTTATTCACATCACAAAAATTGTTGTCTTGTCATGTATAGCTCAAGGTAAATTTCAACCCACTGTTTGAATGACAACTTACCCTTTCAAAATAAAAGAGGTATTTTTTGAGAGCCTCTCTAGCTTGAGCATGAGCTGATTCATTAGCAATGTTAGGATTTTCTTTGTATCTGCTGCATTCATAATACTCGCTGCCATGTGCCTTCCAATCTGCAAAATTCAATGACAAAGTTTTTACAATATTCAGACTACACTTGGAATAGATTTTGTTAGTTTAATTTGACAGGTCGTACAAGTGTTAGTATATAAGATTTGATAACTTTAAAAGTGAGTCTCTACCGATCAGGTGAGTCCATAAAAAAACATATCACTTGAGTAGTGTGAGATTGACATTTATCACACAGAAAGATAAAAGGAAAATTTGAGAAATTAGAGATAAATGATAATATAACTTAAAAATAAATAACGTGAAAGATGTAAACAGGAATAAAACTTACCTCCTAAACACATCCAACAAAAGTCATGTTTACACTTTGTACATTGCTGAAATATGACCAAACAAATTGTTATAAACATATAATTTCCATTCTCATATTTTTTTCTTTTATACAAAGTTTTTTTGTTTAAGCCTAGTTATTCATTTCATATCTACAATAATCGCTCTCGATATTTATCACAAATGAACTTGTAAATGGTCATTACAGTTAAACAAAAACAACTGGTCTATTTGCTTACAACTAGATTTATATATTGTTTTCTAGTTTCCACAGATAACTTTGGATGTATTAGTTGGTTTTGATGTATTGTTGGGTTGCTGTCTCATTAATGTTTACTCTATACTCTTTATTCATATTCAGATTTGAATAAAATTGTACAAACTTTCTGTTTCAAATTTATTGTTTCAGAATCAGATTATAAAAATAATGTTTGACAATTGGTTAAATATTCAGTGTTCAGGAAATTGTTTATCACTTAACGATGGTGTATGCATGTTAAAAAAAATTCTAAGTGCTTAAAATTCTGCAACTGTGGATTGCAAAATTAATAAAGATAAAAGTATTTATTAAAAAAAAATATCCATAAAAAAATGTGCATAAAGTAAACCATGTATTGTTTGTTCCATATAAGGTAGCTTGTGACAAAGCATTATTGTAAACAAACTTATTTTCACAAATAATTTACTTCCTGATTAGTCCTTTCCTGTCTACTTCTACTTTGCTTGATGAATTTATAAGGGATGACCCAAGTTTTACATATTTGTGACAATTTACATTCGCTTCATTTTTCTAATAATGTCAAAAAAATGAATCGCTCACGAAAATTAGTTGGTTTACAGTATTTTTCATGTATAAAATTACTCTCAAGTGAACTCATTTATGCTGTAGTTTCAAGCATAATACAATGTCAACATTATTTACTAGTAATATGGTTTTTAACTAGATGTGAAATTCAATGATATTTTCAACAACCTCTACTAAAAAAAAGTTATTTGTATATTTCAGTGCCTAGAGATATATCTAAGATACAGACTCCTGTAAAGTTAAATCTTTAATTCTTACCACATGATTACAACCTCCATTCTTCTCTATACATACATGGCACTTTGGACACTGTAAAACACAAATCATTCAAAATACAATTATCTCCTGTAAGCAGGGGTCTGAAAACCTTTTCATGTGAATTTGGTTCTTTTTGACAATTTGAAAGTTGGGATCAACTTCTCAAACTGTCAAATTCATTTGAAATTAGAGATTTGATGACTTTAAGACAAATTTCAGACTGTTTTTCACTGATTTTATGTGCTTTCTATACAAATATTTGCCTAATTTGAAAGAATTCAATCAGTAATATTTCAGAAAATAAGAGAGATAAATGCATTTCTTTTTCAATTTTCAGTTTAATTTAGTTCAACAAGACAAAGTTGTACGATTTATTTTTTACCAAATCTGTGACATAGCCAATTTACTGTACACTGATCTTAAATAATAGATGTTTCTGTGTATTATAGAAGTAGACTTACATCTTTGGTAATTTCACTTATATAATTAGCTGTTTCTGTATATTATAGAGGTAAACTTACATCTTTGGTAATTGCACTTATATAATTAGCTGTTTCTATATATTATAGAGGTACTTACATCTTTAGTATTAGCACTGATATAATTAGCTGTTTCTATATATCACAGAGTTAACTTACATCTTTAGTATTAGCACTGATATAATTAGCAGTTTCTGAGTCATCAGCACATTTTGTCAGCCATTTCTTTATAGTACCACAATCTGTTGGAGCATGATAATCTATACCACATTTAAAACTGTAAATAAAATATCAACATACATTGTAGCAACTCATTGAATGAATAACTGTATTATAGTTGTACATTTGCAAACAATAATTGTCGAATATACCGTGGCAAATTACTTTCAGGCAAAGCTTTGATGGAGCCAGAAAATGGGTATTTGTGAATGTAACAACTAAGATTGGCCAAGAGAAGAGTAGAATAAATTATTGTTATTCTTATTCTAATGCAACTGATAAATCCTTTCTATCAAATGATCTTTTTTTAATTATAGAAATCAAAGATGACAACACTCATGTTATACCGCATGAATAAAGATGTATTTATCTGCAGGTTTCACCACATTTTTTAATGATAAATCTAAACCACGTCTGCCATTGAGTTGAAAAATACACAAGAAATATATGATCTCAAAATTAAATATTGCTGTTGCAAACAAATTCCATAACAATGCTTGTTTTTGAATCATAACAATCAAAGTCTATGACTGACAGTAAATCAGTATCAGCATTGTGTGCTAGAATTTCATACGAGTTGGTCAAGATGAATAAGATTATATGAGCAGATAGTATAAGGTTTCTTTCTTTAAATAACTATGACACATTATATTAGTATGATACTTTTTTTCTCTCTGCTTTCAAATCAAACTGTTCTAACAGAAATTTTTTTAAAGGGGAATATAAATAAATCAAATAAATATATACATCACAATAATATTTAATTGAAAATCTTGACCAGCTGTTGTGTGAACCATTAGATGATTGATTGTTGTTTCTTAACGCCAGTGGCAAGTTTTTGAACCATTATAACATTAAATATTAACTGCAACCTTAGTGATATACAAACCTGTTATTACACACTTACCAAAATATAGTTTTACACTGTCCACATTCTACTTTTTTGGCTTTGTTTTCTTTTGCTCTAACGATGACCGAACAATTAGGCCCAGGACAAAATCTCAACTGTGGGTGTCCCTAAAATAAGAGCAGTTCACATTAAAACTGGGTGTAAAGACAAACTTTTTTTCACTTTTTACAAATTTCAAATACATAAATCTTTAATGACAGAAAAATAACTACTAAGCTTGAGAGTAAAAGAAATTTCCCAAATATCTGCAATCAACACTAAAACTCTTTAAAGAGAGAAAAAAAAAACAGCACTTCTTTTTTTTTTTTTAGTAAATTTTATACTTACTGACTGGTATTACTTATTTAATTTTTTTGGGTGTACTTACTTCAATATGATCTGTAAATGACCTTGTAGAATATCGGTCACGAAAGTCTGGTTTACTGAGAGCACTACAAATAAAATCTTCAGGTACCAGTATATTACAGTCTTTCTCCATACACTCTATCCCTGTCAAGTAAAGAATTGTTAATCATAAGCTTACATATACGCATCACAATGTAAAATTTTCAACTCAATATTTTGACAAACAAAACTGTGTTTTGAATCCAAATTAATATACAGCTTTTTATGGATCACTGTATTTGCTTCCATCATTCAGAACAAGAGTAAGTTTCTATCTTCAACAATGTAGACTTTTGACAAACAAGAGTGCACACGCTGAAATGTCTCGCCTTCTTTACTAATCATTGATATTATGTTGATAGTCCTAAATATAAAGCTTTATTACAACTGTCACATAAACTTAACATTAACCAAGTAAACTAAACATTGACCAATGAACCATGAAAATAAGGTCAAGGTCAGATGAACCATGCTAGGCAGGCATGTACAGCTAACAATTCTTCCATACAACAAATATAGTTGACCTATTGCTTATAGTTTAAGAAAAACAGACAAAAACACAAAAACTTAACACTGAGCAATGAACCTTGAAAATGAGGTCAAGGTCAAATAAAACCTGCGTGACTGACATATAGATCATAAAATATTTCCATACACCAAATATAGTTGAACTATTGCATATAGTATTAGAAAAAAAGACAAAAACTCAAAAACTTAACTTTGACCACTGAACCATGAAAATGAGGTCAAGGTCAGATGACACCTGCCAGCAAGACATGTACACCTTACAATCATTCCATACACCAAATATAGTTGAACTATTGCATATAGTATTAGAAAAAAAGACAAAAACTCAAAAACTTAACTTTGACCACTGAACCATGAAAATGAGGACAAGGTCAGATGACACCTGCCAGCTAGACATGTACACCTTACAATCATTCCATACACCAAATATAGAAGACCTATTGCATACAGTATAAGAAAAACAGACCAAAACACAAAAACTTAACTATAACCTCTGAACCATGAAAATGAGGTCAAGGTCAGATGACACCTGCCAGCTAGACATGTACACCTTACAATCATTCCATACACCAAATATAGAAGACCTATTGCATACAGTATAAGAAAAACAGACCAAAACACAAAAACTTAACTATAACCACTGAACCATGAAAATAAGGTCAAGGTCAGATGACACCTGCCAGTTGGACATGTACACCTTACAGTCCTTCCATACACCGAATATACTAGACCTATTGCTTATAGTATCTGAGATATGGACTTGACCACGAAAACTTAACCTTGTTCACTGATCCATGAAATGAGGTCGAGGTCAAGTGAAAACTGTCTGACGGGCATGAGGACCTTGCAAATTACGCACATACCAAATATAGTTATCCTATTACTTATAATAAGAGAGAATTTAACATTACAAAAAATCTGAACTTTTTTTTCAAGTAGTCACTGAACCATGAAAATGAGGTCAAGGACATTGGACATGTGACTGACGGAAACTTCGTAACATGAGGCATCCATATACAAAGTATGAAGCATCCAGGTCTTCCATCTTCTAAAATATAAAGCTTTTAAGAAGTTAGCTAACGCCGCCGCCGCCGGATCGCTATCCCTATGTCGAGCTTTCTGCGACAAAAGTCGCAGGCTCGACAAAAAATCATAGTAACATTGTAATCCATAAATGCTAGGAACATTAATTCACGGCGTAAAATATTTTTTGGATGTATTTTTTGCTGTAGAAAATAAATATTTGAATAAATCTTCAATAGATCTGTGATTGATATCAAATTCCCTGCTGATCCATGCCATAGGGTTCAACAGCTATTTTTCAATGATTAATTAACTATACTTTGCCCATATTAAATAATTTCCTTCAATATTGTGCAAAAAAGATCAAAAGATGTTTTTTTTATTATTATGTAAACAAATCAGCATGAATAAAAAGAGAAGTGGGGTATATGCTAATGAGACAGCAACCCAATACAACACAAAAAAAAAACAACACTAAGAGATTAACATACCAGAGACCCCATGTAAGACCTTTCTGTTCAATGTTAAGATTTGGTTGTCATTTAAAATTTTTTGAAAAAAGACTGCAAAGTTTTATGTATCCTATAAACAATACCTGTAGTGATTCCTTGTTGAATCTGGATTTGGAAAAAGCTATCCCAGCATTCTTTACAAAACTGGTGTCCACAGGACACACTAAACATTTGATCCTTCTGTACAGTCAGGTAACACACGGGACAGGTACGATAATTACTAAAACAGGTATCCTGAAATATATAACAGACAGTTAATACAATAATTACCAAACAGGTATCCTGGAGTATACAACAGACAATAAGGTCATTACCAAAACTGGTATCCTAAAATATAAAACAGGTAAACAGACAATAGATGGGATTGGGACAGTAATTTCAATATAAGGTATTCTGTAATATATAACAGGTAAACAAGTAACAAACAGAAAAGTGTGGCAATCACCAAAACAAGTATTCTGTAATAAATAACAGGTAAAACGGGTAACATATTGGGCAAGTGCAATTACTGGTCTTTTTGGAACAGGTACGAATATATTTCTCCAAAATGCACTAAAGAAGAAACTGAACTGCCTGCTTCGATTTACTCTTTGAAACTGTTTTCATTACAGCTATTCTATTTTTAGATATCTGCTCCTCAAAAAGACAGACAACTTTCATGTGAACCACAAATGAAAGGATATATATGCATCATCATAAAGATTTCTGTTATAAAGTGTACAGTAAATTCAGAAATCATTGTGTTTTATTATTGTGAAAATTGCTACAAGACAGGTGTCACCATGTCACAAAAATTAAAACTCACGTAGTGAATTTTGAAAGCGTTATTTGTATATGCATGCAGCTTTTCCTGAAATTGCAATAATTAAAATAACATTGGTGTTGATTGTACAACAGTAGCAAAATATATACATACAATGAATAATTTCTGAATTACATGTAATTTAAAAAAACATCCAATTATATGTATGTAAGTGATTTCTAGGTTGCTGCCTACTGGTTTCTTGTGCTTAAAAGGAATCCACATAAATAATGTACATTTACTTTGTTCTTATCATCTAAAGTGAAACATATGTATATCAATCTGTTTAATTTTAACCTTTTACACAAACACAATTCTAATTTTAGCATTTTTGCACACTACTGTGGATTCAACATTATTCGTGAAATACCAATTTTTGTGGATTTCGTGGGTATAGGTGAACCACGAATTTAAATGTTCAATGAAATAGAAATCTTCTATAGGCTTGTATGCAGACATTCGCAAAACCACAAATTCAAATATCAACGAAAATACAATTTTTCCTCAATCCACGAATATTGGTACCCACGAAAATAAATGAATCCACAGTCTATGAAATAATCAACTAACTAACCTTATACTTCACAGCTGGTTTTATCTTTGAATCAACCAATAGTTTTCCATGGTCTATAATGTGTCTGGAAAAGATTTATTTTTATTGAATGATTTTCAAAAATAAAACTTCACTACACTGAAACATTTTTGGATATTGATAGAAATTTTTGAAGTAAAGGAGAGTACATGAACAATTTTGAATTTGGGATAATGTTTTTTTCCCTTCTCATATCAATTAGAACTGTATGTTTTTTTTCTAATTTGACATCTTTGTGATTTTTTGAGATTGTTTTACAGAATCTATCAGTGTTAAATTTCAAGAAAAGAGTAGGCCTCTAAAGGTTTAGAATTTAAGTGATCCACAGGGATTTCCCCTAAATTCTATCACAAATATAGATAAAAGATTTGTTGTTGAAGTGATAGGTCTTTTTTTATTAGCAATTTTACCATTATTTATTTATATAGCGCTTTTCCTGTATGTTCTTTTATGTACTTTTTGCTTGTCTTCTGATCAAGATTATATCATTTACACCGTGCAACTTTAAATCACAAGTCTTTAACAGGTTAATTAAGTTCAGGTAAAAGTTTATTTCTTTTTTAAATAGCATGAATTTGAAGAAAATTGGTTGAATTTATAAAATTTAAATATTTGATTTTTAATACATGTATAACTCTAGATAAGATCCATGTATTAACTTATTGACATTTTGAATAAATTTATTTTCAAAGGTTATCATTTCAACTTTATAGTTAGATCTTTGACTATTATCTTTATCGGTACTAACATTAATTTTATATTGAACAGTTTAACACATAACAGTAACTAAACATATGTTGCCATCCATGATCCAATTATTGACTCTGATGCTTTATGGTCCTACATCCTTTTGCAACTTATATTTTGAAATGCACAAGGTTATGAATTCTCAGACTGCTTAAGAAATATTTAAAATATATCCCTTATAAATGTTCTTATGAACATTTTAGTCTTCAAAACATGGTCAATTTATTAGTTGAAATTGGGCTTTGTAATACTGTAAATTCAGAAATTATTGCGAGGTTTTTATTAATGCGAATAATACGACTAGGTGAGTATCGCAATAATAAGAACTTGCATTTTGATACCTAAAACATAGATCTGAATGTAGATTTTTCTGCAATCGCAATAATTAAAATTTCATTCTTGTCCATTTTTGAAAAATTGCAATAATAAATACACGCAATAATTTCTGAATTTACAGTATATAGCTTTCAGTAACTGAGAGTCCTGTTAGAGTGATACTTTATATCTTTTGTCATCATAGGTAACGGTTGAGTACTCATAAAAATGTTTAACTCTTCAATGGCTTCATTCATGCGCCTCCAGTCCAGAGTTTGTCATTGGTTGCCATCTGTCATGATTGTTTTGGGTTTTCTATTAGATTAAATCAGATAGTTTTCTCTTTCAAATTTTTTAACATCTTTTTATCCTGGGGCCTCTTAAAGCTATATAGTAAAGGTTTTGCTAATTGATGAAGGTCATATGGTGACCTATAGTTGTTAAAATCTTGTCTATTGGTGGACAGTTTTCACATTTGCAATCATACCACATCTCATTATTTTTATTACAGTACTCTGGCCAACTTTCCTTACCTTTCTATTATAGATTCTTTATTCCAGCCATGGACTTGCAGTAACATCTTGGCCAAGGAAGGATCAATCTGTAAACACATTTCAAAAGTTTTTTTACCATTTGAATACAGGGACTTAAAAATTTGAAACTTTATTTCAGTTTTTACCAAAATTTTGAAAAAACAAGAATGTGCCCCACTCGTACTATCATTTTCTATGTTCAGTGGACCGTGAAATTGGGGTCAAATCTCTAATTTGGCATTAAAACTAGAAAGATCATATCATAGGGAACATGTGTACTAAGTTTCAAGTTGATTGTACTTCAACATCATCAAAAACAACCTTGACCAAAAACTTTAACCTGGAGCGGGACAAACGGAGGGACATTAGGGATACTAAATATGGACACTAAATGGAATACTGTTATTGTTATAAACAGAGAAATTTGTCACATTCACCTTTAATTTACTACATAAAGCCTCTACTTCTTCATTGAGTAATCTTTCTGCATCCTCTAAGTGAAGAAGGTCAAATTCAAAATATTCTGGGTCATCACTTTTCTTTGGTTTATCAATGTCAAGGTCATCAGTATCATTGTCATAGTAACCACAATAATCATCTTCATCATCTTCGTCCATGTTATCTGATTCATCGTAATCAGAATCATCTGAGTTCTGACTCTTCATATCAACTGTGTCTGTCATCTTACTTTAAATATAAAGACATAACTCATATAAATATGAAATAAAAGTATAACATACATGTACATAATGTAAGATTCATTTGTGTCCAATAATCGTTCATTCAAGTCATTTCTTTGCCAATTAGCATTTTTAAATTCCTGTGTAGAACAAGACTGTGACCATTATGATGTCTCAATAAAGTGTGAACAGTTCAAGTACTGTAAACTTGTAAATTCACTTTCATTGGTGGAGTACAAATTAAGTTGATTTCCTGGATATAAGGAAATCATGAATTTTAAAAATGTTCAACAAAGTATAAATTGTCTATTGGCTTGTATACAAACTTTTGAAAAACCATAAAAATCAAATATCAATGAAAATACCATTTTGCCTCAATCCACAACCATAAATTGGTACCCATGAAAATAAATTAATCCACAGTTTACACTGAAAGCTTTCGAGCAATAGTCAAAATGACAAACATCAATGAAACACTGAAACTTTGGTATATCTGAGATTTTAGTCTCCTGTCCGTTCCACTTCCTCTCACAGCCAATATTTTACAAAGCATATGTAGTGAGAGATACATTTACTATTATATTGGTTGTAATGAGAAACTGTGGGATTTCAAATTCAAATAAAAAATAAACTGTTAACACAGAAATATGTCTCGCCTTCTTGTACTTTTGATAATGCAAATGTTGAAATTAAAATAGCAATACTTTAACATGTAAGTTATGCAATTATTCAAAGTCAATGAACCATGACTGAAGGTACATGGCAAAACAATCTCCATGGAAATGAGATGTGCCAATGCTAATACAACTGCATACAAAATACTATAGGTTGCACTTTGTAAATACAGCTGTTTCTCAAACCACGCCTCTTTTGGGGAGATATAGAATATTCATAGATAATTAATTTTGTTTACATACTGGTTCCCAGTTATGATCTCTAGGTTTCATCTCATAGAGACATAACTTGGGAATGTTACCAGTAAATATACATATGCATATTGTTTATATTGAAATCTGTGGTAATACTACAGTCAAGGTAGGGATAGTTAAGAAATTTAGTGTTAGTTTAAACTCTTAGAAGTTCGGGGCATATAAACGTTGAAAATATGCCGCACAGCCCTATATTTTGACCTTTGAAAAAAATTGTAGTGCATATGAACTTTCCATTCTAGGATATGATTTTTTTCAAAACTTCATAGTAAAAGTGGTACAGTTTTAGCCATAAAAGGAGTTCCTATGGGAAATTGCATTGTCAATATTTACAGAAATGCAACCTATATTGGGTGAAAAAAGAGAACATACAGAATTTAACCAAATTTGGTTTATCTCACAGATTTTAAAGAAATTAACTCAAATATGAAGTTTTATAAATATTTCATGAAGATTGAGAAAATCCTGAGCCTTAACTATGATGACTCAGCATAAATTCACAGTTTACAGTATGCATAGTTTACTTAAAGCCCTGAATGCAAAATAAATTCATAATATATGCATATTTGTAAGATAAATTGTTTAGAAGTGCTTATATTTACTCTTCGCAGTCATTGAAACTCATAGATCCTTCCTGAATATTATTGGTTGGGTGTTTTTGTCCTGTCGATAACCCAAAAGTAAGCCGTAACGCCTAAATCTGCATTTTTGTCACCGCGGCATAAAAAATACAAGCTAGAAATACAAAAATATCTCAACAAAACTTACAATAGTGTGTTCTATCCTGAATATGTACTAAATATTCCATATTGCTAGAAACAGCAGAATAATTTATGAAATTTGAGGCCCCAGGGGCAAAAAACAGAGAAAATTGCCTACCCCCTGGGTCATAAAACAAATAATTTAACTTGTGAATGCTATGAATTTATGATTTTAAAGGTCTTTATATAGAAACAATAACTGTGCTTGGTAGTTATGCAAAAATCAGATGTTAGCAGTCATTTCCATAAAATTTTAAGTGAATTTATACATTAGACTGGTATCTGCATACATACAACTATTGCAAATATGGCTTTGTTTTAACACTTCTAGCTAATATATTAGCTAAATTATGTCAGATATATGATAAGAGATGATACTGTTGTGACAAGAATTCTAAACTGACCATTTGAGGCAGAAATTGTGAACTTTCATTGACAAATAGGCATACAGTAAAATGTGGACAAGAGACACAGGCAGGATTGGATACTTTATATAATCTTGAATGTTGGAATGATTGACTGCTAAACATTACAATTACAGTATTCTGAAATGCTTTCAATATGTTATCAGAACAGTTTTAAACAGGTTCTAGGCATTTCATGTCAGAAAACATGCAAATAGGATAAGCTGGCAATAATTAAAGTCTTGTTTTCAAATTCTTGAAAAAATTGAAACAGGGGAGGGGGTATAAAATGTACAGTAAAAGAAAACTTAAGAGTTTATGCAGTGATTTCTTTCAGGTTATAATTCTGATAAATAAGTATTAATGTGAGAAAAAGTGTTTTTAGAGAGTTTTCTATTGGAATAAATGTTTGTATAGGTTGCACTTTGTAAATACAGCTGTTTCTCAAACCACGCCTCTTTTGGGGAGATATAGAATATTCATAGATAATTAATTTTGTTTACATACTGGTTCCCAGTTATGATCTCTAGGTTTCATCTCATAGAGACATAACTTGGGAATGTTACCAGTAAATATACATATGCATATTGTTTATATTGAAATCTGTGGTAATACTACAGTCAAGGTAGGGATAGTTAAGAAATTTAGTGTTTGTTTAAACTCTTAGAAGTTCGGGGCATATAAACATTGAAAATATGCCGCACAGCCCTATATTTTGACCTTTGAAAAAAATTGTAGTGCATATGAACTTTCCATTCTAGGATATGATTTTTTTCAAAACTTCATAGTAAAAGTGGTACAGTTTTAGCCATAAAAGGAGTTCCTATGGGAAATTGCATTGTCAATATTTACAGAAATGCAACCTATAGACTTATCATAAGTTGTTCCCTTTCAACAAACCTAAACACAAACATTGACTTGTAAACTATGTAAAAGTTTCAAAGTCAATGAACCATGATGAGGGGGTGGGGCTATATAATCTCCATGAAAACAGCGCTCTTTGTTTTATTCTACAATGACAATGTAAATAAAAGAATAACAAAACCCAAAAATAGTCAACTCATGACCCAAAAATACTTTCATTCTAAGACATGTGACATCACTCATGTTTTTATATTTTTGTTATTCAAAGGATTGTCAACACCTACAGTAAAAAAAAAATCTTATATTGGTCTGACACCTTTTCCAGTGATATTTCATATTCCTAAGGTCACTTTGTCGAACTAATCAATTATTTATTACCTGTCTTACTCTATCAAGCAAAAACAGTACACAGTTAGTGTTTCCAAGGTTTTATCCAATATTTAGTAAATAGGCGATTTATCCAATATTTAGTAAATAGGTGTTTTATCCAATATTTAGTAAATAGGATTTCTTGAATTCCTTTTTCTGGAAATTAAACAATTACACATTTAGTTCAAACACTACTTTCATAACCTACTTCCTTTGTCAGAAATCACATCATGATGATCATGGAAAAAGACAAAGATATTCTTACCTTATTAAACACTATAGTAAAACAAGTAAATTAGCCCTGGACAATAAACATCAATTCAAGTATATACACATCTATTAACATTCTACTTTCTTTTTCCATCTGACCTATTTCCTCATAAATTGTATCAATTTACCTTTAACTTGTTTAAAGTACTGAACAACAGCTGATCAAGACAAGTTTATTTAAATACATTCAATAAGCTAATGGTTCAATTCATAACAGTAATTCATAATAGTATATGATATAACAAAGAAATGACGATATTTATTGGAAATAATTTCTTCGTGACCTAAAATCTGTACTTGCTTATGGCAAAAATTAATCATCATAATAGAAATATTAAATCTTATTTTAACACATGTAACTATTTCTGTAGGTTTTACAATAAATATGATATTTTGCTACATAAGAACTTTTATTATGTGAAACCTAAAATGTAAGGTATAAGTTTTATTGATTACATTGTACAACATGTACAATGGAAGTATTTTTGATAAAAGTACTGCAATACTTTTACATGTATAAATGTATTAAACAGAGGCAAATTTAGGGGCCAACCCACCTTTAGGAAGTTACATATATTTTTAATGCATAGTTTTTTTACATGTCCCACTCCTAATGTTTCCTTGGTGGCCCCCTTTTTTAAAAAAAATCATGGATCCTCAACTGTTTAATTATCAGAAAAACTCAACCTAGTTTAATTTTCACAAAAAAAGTGCTTTAAATGTTTTGGCAACTAAAATTATTTTGAACATTCAATACTATGTGGTTTATTGTAAACCTCAAATTGTTCTTAACTTTGTAACAAGTTTTCTCTAATTCTTCGTCAATTTATCCCTTTCTGCACCCATTGTATAAAAAAAATTTAATCAACGTGTGGTTCGTTTGATGTCAGTTCTTCATTGGTTAAAATCCGATTATGACGTCGAATTTTCTTGCTTTCCCCTGAATTTCCTATTGTGACGGCATGAAAAAAGGCGACCATGCCTGATGACGTCACATAGAAAGATTAAGAACACATCTTTTTGCAGATCATTCGAAAAGAAGGAATACATTTGCCTGCGTATTGTTTGAAAATCATTAGAGAAACAGATTCCACCACCAAATCTCGTGTAATACGATATTTATCCATCTAGGCAGTTAAATTTTAAATATTTAAAACGCTCGGCGAGCCTCGCGTTTTAAATTTGAAAATTTAACTGTCTCGAGTGGATAAATATCGTATCACACTCGATGCAGTGGTAGAATCTATATGTATCAACTGATATCAAAAGTTAACAATTGTTTTATTATAATACTTTTTTTATCCATCTCCAATTTTCTAGTATTTGCTCAAGATAACTGCTCCTTATTTTATACTAAATAAACATATTTCACTTGTTAATATTTTTGGTTTGCAAACTATAAATCATTATGTTTTATGCTTATTGTTGATATTTTAGTTCATTCTCAAACAAATTCGTTCACCATCGATTGCGGGTTTCAACTGGTAATGTACATTTCATTGTGTTGTATATTTCTCCGCCTGCATGATATGAGGCCTTTTTATAAAAGGGGGAAGTTTCCCAATATTTAAATCAAATAATAACATTAACACATCAAACAACAATTGAAAACGTTTTTTTTTTAGATTGCAGTATAAAGACAATAATAGTGCATTGACTTGACATATCAACGATATAAGGATTCGCAGAGCCTTGCATTTCCCCGTTTCTAAGTCCATCCTTATATTGTTGATATGTCAAGTCGATGCACTATTATTGTCTATATATACATGCAGAGTACAAAATATAGATACATGTACCTTTGTATACACATGTACATTATTAAAACCATAAGACAGAACACAATAATGTAATTATGAATTTATATCTAAAATAGTCTAGTCCTTAATCAGGTTAATATAATTTTGTGAAAAACAATACCTTTTGAAAATTCTAACGGTTTACACATTAGATGAAGAGGAGCACTCTGATTCATATTAAATTTAAACAGAGATTATGTAATAATCTATCCTGGATAAGACACATCCTGTTTACATGACGGAAAATTACATGTCTAATAATAGCATTAAAGGCTTTGGTTAGTTTGTATCCTGTAAGGCTGTCCCATCTTACATGTCTTATGTAAAATCTCTTAAAAATTTTCAATTAATTAATATGAAGTGTATTATTAGCAGATTAGTATCCTCCATGGTTATGTTCATGTATCAAGTATGTTATATATGTGCCAAATTTATTTGCAAAAGTCAGTTTACTTTATTTTGTTTAGTATGTAAAAATTTTTCTTCTTTTGATGTTTCCAGTCTAATTTTCATGAACTTTCACCATTTAAGGCAGAATTACATGAATTTCCAGTTTCTCATCCTTCTTTTTACACTATTTTGGTAAACTATCTAATTCTTTGAAACTAGAAATCATATATATATATATACACATGTACATGTATGTATAATATATATTTATTTAAATGTACATCTTCACACTTTAGTGATTGTTTACGTTTATTTATGTCAATAGTGTGACATTAATTGTTAAACATCAAGTTTATAAACCTTTCCTTATTATGTAAACATTTATAGGGAGTAATTTAACAGTAATTAGAAAAGAATTATATCATAGGTTTTTCCACATATTTTTTAATTATTTACTTCTGGAAAATAAAAAATAAAGGCCAATGTGGGCAGAACAAAAAATGTAATATTTTCATGCAATAGAATTCCAAGTGACACTAAATTCTGTAACAAAGAAAGTATAGTAGATTTTAACCTACTTGACTGAAGAAAACTTCTCAAAAGAAGAAGTCTCTCAAAAAGACCTTAAATCGATGTACAAAGTCCATAAACTTGGGGGAATACACAATTTGTCTGATTTAACTCAGTTACAGGGGTACATATTCACCCAGGAAAGTATTTGCTGAGAAAATTAAAGATACATGTATATATATTTAGATATAAACTGATAAATCAAATCAAAATTTGTAAAAATGGCGATATTTAATATTCTGAATTATATAATTAATTTCACAAAATGTAACGATAACATCCATTATCCTTCTGATTTCAACTTCGATCATCTGGGATAATTTATGTATGTACATAACTTTGTAAAACATAATATTTAGAATATATCCAGGTTAATCACCCCCTTTATATGACATAAAATTTCAATAGCCCTACATTGTGCAGATGTCCTTTCAAGTTGCACTTTATTGCATTTGGAGGAATAAAATCTAAATTTCTGGTAAATGCTGCATTTTGCCAATTATAATAAAAGAATGTAAGATAAAAATACAGACAAAGACTTCATTGTTTTCCCTGGTAAATACTACATTTTGCCTGTATGAAAATAAGGAGATGAGGTATGATTGCCAATGAGACAACTATCCACCAAAGTTCAAATGAAGTCAATGTAAGCAATTATAGGCAACCGTACGGCCTTCAACAATGAGAATAAAATGCTCCACTGGGCGCAGCTTGATACGACCGCAGAGGTCGAACCCTGAAAGGTTGGGGCAAGTATGGACACAACATTCAAGCTTGATACAGCACTGAATTTGGATTGTGATTAAATATTTGACACAGCATAGGTTTCTGACACAGAATGAATGTGGTCTAAGAACTTAAAATTTTTTAATTTACCTATTTAAACCATATCATTATTATTTGCTTTTATACATAAATCAGAAATAACCGATTTAAAATGGAAAATTTTAAAGAAAAAAAAATCCCTCACCCAAATTTTTTTAACCCCCTTATGATTCATCACGCCCAAACTCAATCCCAGCCTTCCCTTTGAGGTATGGTAGTGGTACCTTGCAGTACAATTTCAGAGAGATCCATACACTTGAACACAAGTTATTGTCTGGATTCTAGAAAAATGCTTGTTTTTAGGCCCCAAATTCCTAAACGTTTAGGGCAATTACCCCCAAACTCAATCGCAGCTTTCCCTTTGTGATATGGAACCTTGTAGTACAATTTCATAAAGATCCATACACTTACACACAAGTTATTGTCCTGAAACTAGAAAAATGCTTGTTTTTTGCCCCTAATTCCTAAAATTTTGAGGCAATTACCACCAAAATCAATCCCAGCCTTCCCTTTGTGGTATGGTACCTTGCAGTACAATTTCAGAGAGATCCATACACTTGAACACAAGTTATTGTCTGGAACTAGAAAAATGCTTATTTTTGGCCCCTTGTTCCTAAACGTTTTTGGCAATTACCCCCAAACTCAATTCCAGCTTTCCCTTTGTGATATGGAACCTTGTAGTACAATTTCAGAAAGATCCATACATTTACACACAAGTTATTATCATGAAACTAGAAAAATGCTTGTTTTTTGCCCCTTTTTTGGCCCCTAATTCCTAAAATTTTGAGGCAATTACCCCCAAAATCAATCATAGCATTCCCTTTGTGATATGGAACCTTGTGGTATAATGTCAGAGAGATCCATACACGGTGTACACTAACACACAAGTTATGTCTGGAAGTTACAAAAATGCTTATTTTTGGCCCCTTTTTCCTTAACTGTTGGTACCATAACCCCCAAAATCAATCCCAACCTTCCTTTTGTGGTATTGAGCCTTATGGTAAAATTTCAAAAAGATCCATTAACTTAAACTAAAGTTAGAGTGCGAAAACCAATGTGTCTTCGGACGACGACGCCAACGTCATACCAATATACGAAAAAAAATTTGCGGTCGTATAAAAATCCATACCTTAAGTCGGCTATTAAAGGCCTAGACATCAAAAATATGAATCAATTCAATTCAGAAAACTAACGGCCTAATTTATAACAAAACTTTTTACGAAAAACAAATATGACAGACATGTAGTCACTTTTAAAAATAAAATAATGTGCAGTAAAAATTCCAGACAAAGCCTTCATTTACTTTTGTAGGGTCAAATACATGTATATAATTTTCCTATTTGCATAAAATAAAAGGAAAACAATCATTGACTTAATAAGCTGCTTCATAGATATTGTTGTTAAACACAGTGACTAAAAATATTTAAGTATTTTAGCAATACTACATTGTACTGCTAAAATAAAGGAATGGGTTAATATTGAACCTCACAGCAATTCTAATTAGTCATGTCTTACTAACATGACTAACTTCATCCTGAATTTAATGCTAAAATTACATCTTAATACAAGATACTTAACTTCCAAAGGAAACATGCTGGTACTCTTAAAACTCCCATATCTGAAATGTGAAGCTACTCTCTAGGAACTGAATAAAACTTAACACAAATTTATTTCCAGTTGGGATTAGATTGATTGTGGCTTGCTATTACATCCAATGACAATAGCTGTATTCTAGGCATATTCACCAAATACAAAATTATAATGCAAATGATCAGAGAAAATAAGACTCAAATGCTTTAATGTGGGTGTTAAAGATAACACTAAAATAAAACACAGGTATTTCAGTAATAATGACTAAGACTTACACAATCATAAACTAAGCTGTTACGATGCCATGGAAAGGTCACATATTGGAATTCTTGTGAAAACATTTGGATTTTGGTTCATTTTCAAATACAAATATATACAGTATGTGCAAGAACCAACTTTTATAATTAACGAACTACACTATTTGTTTACATGAAAAACTCCTCCCTCAAATATAATTATTATTTGATTCTGCATGCATGCATTCAATATTTCCTTATTCAAAAGTCAACCAAAACAGAGTAATGTTATTTGTTTCATGTGTTTTACAATTAAACTGAAAAAAATAAGTTTCACCATCTTTGACTCTTGGGTAAATATTCATAAAATTGGGAGGTCCACATTGTTAAAACTTAATATACATGTACATGTATGCCTACCAATCATCATATCACAAACTTCACGTAATAAAATTAGTCAATAGAAGAGACAGCATCATAACCATAAGAAAATGACAAACATTAATGGGACTCCAGGAGGTTACCCCCTAAGGGTCACAAGGTCAAGTCACTTCAAATCAAAGTTTTTATCAAACTATATTTATATCTTATTATTTTTATAATTACTGATATGATTCATTTGAACATTTTTAATGGTCACAGGTCCTTTCAATGAGACGACAGGTTGCAAGGTCGCCTGTCAAACCCCCCAAGGTTGCAGGTTGGATTTGAGCATGTTGGAGCCCCATTACTTTTAAACTTAGTAACAAGACCTCACAATAAAAAAAGAGTTGAACTCAAGAACTCCAGAACAGTAAGCAAATCCTGATCCACTAGTTACTAAAGAAAATGTTTTGTCTACAAAAAGGCCTTCAGAGAACCGCCTCCTTCAAGTTATGCTTTTTATATAAAAAGAAGATGTGGTATGATTGCCAATGAGACAACTCTCCAAAATTGACCAAATGACACAGAAATTAACAACTACATGTATAGGTCACCGTACGGCCTTAGTATGCTTAAAATTGGATAGTAATTAGTACTGTCACAACTTTTCTTGATGCGAAAGGTTATTAAAAACAAAAGATTTAATGTGTTAAAACCTAACTATCTTGATTACACATACTTGTAAATTAGGTTATCATTATGCTACAAAATTAGAAAAAGAAATAAATAAAAAGTGCATGAGGTAAGGAGAAGAAACTAAGTACTGGTACATTGAAATTTGATTGATTAAGGCAAAGAAATGTAAATAAAAGGTTGGGCAGGGATTGAAGTTAAAATTTTGGCATGGTAGCCCACAGCTTAAATTTTGTAGCAAATATATATAGTTCTATACAAGAAAAGCAGAAATTTTAGTAGCCACAACAAATTTCATGGGCCATTGGCGAGTGGGCCCTTGGTAATTTCAAACCCCGTTAGGAATGGGAATAATATCCTATATAGCTAATTCAAATATCAATATACAGTGATTTACATGTAAACACAACATTATTATTTATTATTATTACTGAGATTTTGACACAAGGCAAAAATGTTGCAATGAAGCCATTATAAAAATAAAACGACATACAAAATTCAAATATTTATCACTGGAAATTAACGCCTGTGAATTGGGATAACACTCAAATATGAGCATAACCCCATCCTGATAAGTGTACCTAACAAAACATAATGATACAATGAGCCTTATATACATGTTGTACATGTAGATGACTGTTTCAAAATTTCATGTTAATATAATTCACTGACACTAGTGACACCATGTTTGATACCCAACTTCCAATATGTTCCAAAAGGGAGCATAAATAGTAGGAGGGAAGTTTTTGGTTGACTGAGTATACCACTATCATGCTTCAAAGCCTCAACAACATGGCCTTCAACTTCTTTCAGAATTTCAGTTTTTTCAAGATTTTTGTAAAGCATCTGATTGGTTCTGTATTGCTGTTTTCAGTTGTTCTTTGGTCACATAATTATTTAATACTATCGTTGCATTTTTCTTTCTGTCTGAGGGTAACACGTTTGAATTTTTTGAATAAATGCAGCAATTATTACTCTCCACTTAAAGGTACATTTGTGTATTTTTATTCTATATAATGAATACTAGGACAATACTTGTATACAGCACCTGTACATTTAATTATGGAATCTGGGTCCGTTCGCCCAGATTCACAATCACCCTTGTACCTGTTCGCCCAGGGTCCATTCGCCCTGAATAATTTTTTTTTATTGTTGTCTAGTTGCATAATGTTTATTATTTGAACAGAGTATGTTAAAGTTTGCTGAAAAATTCGCCAAATATTTGAATTGCTACAACCAAATAATTATTTCCTTTGATTTGCATAGTAGAATACTGGAATACAATCATTGACAATGTATTTATCTTTATGGATATTTGTTAATGATTTTAATCATTCTAGTCAGTCAACTTATGCAGTATAATAATAAATGAATTTATAAATCCTTTTCATGTTTTACAATTCGTACATCATTGTTTTTACTCATTCCAAGCTGACTAGTTTATCAAAACAAAATGTTGTTTTTATAATTAATCCATCAAAGACAATTATTACAACAATCAGTGAGAATTATTATTATGAACAATTAATGCTCCAAAACGCCCCATCAGTTTTAAATATTTCCAAGTGTTTTCATGAATTTCAAGAATTTATACCATATAAATATCTGAATAAGTTTATTAAACATGTTAAACTTTAATACCCTTAATACTAATATTTTTTAATAAAAGTAGGGAGAACTAACTCAGGGCGAAAGGACTCTATGGGCAAACATGTAATCAAGGACAGACCTGATACCTTAATTATAATTTATATATGAGAATGCTGACAAATCATATTGGTAAATGAGAATTGTGGTCCTCAAGTCCAATTGTTCATGTAGCACCTGCCTCCTATTATCTAATATGATGAACTCGGGGGAGATTAGTTGTATACCTAAATATCCAGTGACTGTGTGACCCTCTTAAAGTAAAGTATGCTGTTGTTGTAGTAAAAAAATATCTCATCTCAAAACAATCTGTAGTAATTTTTATTTAATTTTGAATAATGTCATATAGAAGTTTAAGAATTGAGGTTATTCATGGCTACATTTGAAAACACCAGGAGTCGGGAAATGTATGTCCGGACTATAGTGAATAATAACACACCCTTTCAAGGTCTTTGTTTAACACTGCATCAAACAAAATATGTTATCATGATTCTATTTCTAATCTGAGTAAAAACTTAACTTGAAAAGAGTTTTCAATGGCGTATAAACTTACAAATTGTGTAGTCGAGATGTCTATGTTCCAAGTTTGTACAATAGAAACCTAAGTTTCTTTGTTGCTATTCTGGAAAATTTCGCATATATTTTTTTCCACAACAAAATTATCTAAAACGGATGTGACGTCAACTGGGTACTATAAAAGTTTGAAGTAAATCATGGATAAAACTGTTATAACTGAAAGCGCTTTACAGATGTAAATTTTATTCTTCGGAGGTTCTCGGATATTTCCTTCCAAAGTGGATGGTAAATGCAAAAAGAAATTGTTTTGGCGAAAATGAAACTAGCGAGGGATAAACTTGTATACACATTATATTTAAATTTTATTAGTCATTATCAAATAATGAAATTCACCTTTCCTTTCTTTTCTTTCCAAATCTTCACATCCTTTGTAGGACAACCACACCGCTACACTATCTGTTCGGCACGTAGAACAAAACCCACCACCATGAATGAAGAAATATATGTACACTCTATTTTGAATAATACTATCCTCCACCAATATATACAAGTTCACTTTTGTAGTTGCTCGCATAACTTGTTGTATGTACTCTTAGTTGCATTTAAAATTCATAGGCTAGTTACTGGATTTTACAGGGGGATTATTTATGTTTACGTGGTAAAATAGTTCATACGTAAAAAGAAAACGTAAAATAATTACATCAGTCAGATTCGCACTCTAAAATCTAAGATAGTTCACCTTAGAATCTAAAAAATCGGCTCATTGAGCTTATTGTCTTTGTATTCACATCGTAAAATCTACTTAAATCACTTGTACTCCGCGCATTGAGCTTGTCGTTACATATCATAAAATCTTATAAAATTTAAATATTCACCTTATCTTTATTAGCACAATAAAGAATAAAATGACTTTAAAAGGTAAAAGATATCGTCTCGCGTCTGTATTGGCACCGGCACACCCATATTATGTATTAATAAGCATAATGTTCTTTGCACGCATGGGCATAATACTCTCATGAGCATTTGACATTTATGATGTTATACTATGTGTTCAACCTATTTGGAGTTGACTGCCCTACATCCCAGACCCCACCCTCCCATAGACCATGACCAGGATATCTTCCATTCAGCTATGGTTGTAGTAAGAGTTTACATCTGGCACTGTGTATAAGGAATATAAGACGTCTTGCTTGGTGTTCTATCTTTGAGACTTCTTCACTGTTTAGTCGAAGTTGTCGTTGTACCATGGTTACGTCCATCAATATCTGTATTTTAAGCCCTTCACTTAGGGACTCCCATTCTATATTGCTGTGGTTGGCAGTAGACTCTCTATATCATTAATGACTGGCCTTCTGATGTTATCCCAAGCTTTACATTCAATCAACAGATGTTCAACAGTTTCCTCTTTCTGGCTGCAGGCGTTACATATCTCCTGATTTCCCTCCTTGTAGATTTTATATCTCAGGAGCTGCAGGGCGTAGGTTCCTGTCAGGAGTTTTAGTTTGACTGGAATTCTAGAACGGTCTTTATTGGTATAGCTTTTTATCTTCAATATGTTGTGGATTCTACCCGCCATGAAGTTGTCTGTCTGAAGGTATTTTAACCCTTGGTACAGATTGGCAATAACCGATATTTCATTGGCCCAGTAATTAGCAATTTGCCTTTTAATTTGATTGATAGTGGTTTTAGTCACATCTGCATTATGTAGCATGTCCATGGCCCTGCCGAGGTTGTATTTGAACATGACCCTCTGTACTTCAATATACCAGCTGTGGCTTCCTGATGATTTTACAGTGAGTTGTCTCTTACCAAGCTGTTTTTCAACACTGTTGTCTGCTTGCTGACATATGCTACAGAAGAATGTCATCATTTTGGCATGGATTTGTGCTTCGACTGGTAGGATGCCTGTTAGGATGTAGACTGCTGGGTCAGGAGTACTCATGGGGACTGAGAGAATTTGTTTGAGCATCTTTTTCTGGAACTTCTCTAGGGTTTCCAAGTGTGCTGACTTTGGTGTCAAAAGCTCCATCCCGTAGAGTAGTACTGGGGATATGTAGGTCTTAAATAGATGGATTAAGCTTTCAGGATCTAGTCCGTTTTCTCCATGGAATCCACTGCCAAGCAGGGCATAGGCACTTCTTCTTGCTTTCTTAACATTTTCTTCAACATTGGACTCGATGTTTTGTCTCATTGATGGTGTTCTTATTATACCAAGATGGGTTGATTTTGTGACGTTTGGCATTGGATCTTTTCCTAGCTGGTATTGTTCTGGTTCACAACTGTTCTTGGTTGGTTTAGGTTGGATGTGTATTGCCACACTCTTCTGGGGTTGGAGCTTATAGCCTTCCATTCCAGCGTAGTCCGCAGATATATTTATTTGTATCTGCATATCAGGTGGTCTTTTTCCCAATAATGCTATGTCGTCTGCGCATGCTGTGGTATTGCATAGGACATTACCAATTTTGCATCCAAGGCCTGATTGCTGTAATCTATTCAGGAGTGGGTTTACATAGACCTTGTATAAATCAGTGCTGAGGATTCCTCCTTGTCGTACACCTTGGCTTACGGCGAACTCGTCCGCAATCATTCCTTCCCATTTGATGGCACTCGTTGATTGCCAGTGCATACTCTGTATTATCCTCCAGAGAGTACCGCAATGAAAGAGTCGTCGCATTAGGTGACTGTGTACCACTACATCAAATGCCGACTTTGCGTCTAGTAGAACCAGCTCAAATTCTTGGTTTCTGTCTACACTCTCACGATAAACTTCTTCCACGACCAGAGCTGCGTTCAGTGGTGATGATTTTGCCGTGAAGCCTCGTTGGGTGGGATTTTGATCTTGAAGGACTCTTGGTTGTATTCTGTCTCTGATTATTGCCTCTACTATCTTATTAACAACTGGCAGTACTGTTATACCTCTGTAGTTGGCAGCATGACATCGGTCCCCCTTGTTTTTGAAGACAGGAGTAAGTAGTCCTTTCTTAAGTATGTCTGGAATACAGCCATGTTTAAATACTAGGTTGATGAGCTGTAAAAGTAGTTGTTCTAGTTTTTCTCCTGCATAGATGAGGTGCTCAACTGTGATGTTATATATGTCTGCAGATTTACCTTTGTTTAATGACTTTATGGCATTCTTAAGCTCTGTGTGGTTTGCCAAAGGTGTTTTCTTACTTTTTACCATGTCGTTGATTAATTCGATCTCATATTCTACCATCTCCTGATAGTGATAATCCTTCAGCTGGGATGATTTTTCTGCTGATGCTAGATTTCCAAAGTGTTCAGTAAAGCCTTCGATTACTTGGTCACCAGAGTAACATTTGTCATTTACATGTAGATCCATTATACCGGCCCTGTTACTGTTCCTACTGTTTTTTACGAGTTTGTGGTACAGCTTACTGTCTCTTGTTCTTGCCTCCAATATCTCTTGTTTTTCCCTGTCTCGCTCTCTGGCCTGCTCAACTTTCACCTGCTTTTTAAATTTCTTTCTAGTGTTAATTCTGTCTTGATATGACTTGTCAGCTGGGTTGGTGGGTTTCCCATTTCTATTCCATACATCATAGCATTTTCTCATCTCTTTCAGACTACTTTTGATGATTGGCGTCCATACTTTCAGTTTTGGCTTTGCCTTATATCTTGATTTCTTCGATGAGCTCTCAATTGCTGCTTTTGTTAGCATTTGGTGCATCTTACTGATAAGAAGGTTGGCGTCCTCTGCTGTCTCAGCTGGGCATTCTGCTATCGTATCCACCTGCTCGTTTATTATTGCCAAATATAAATCCTGGTCTACTTTGTCCCATTTTATAGTTGGTTGAATTTGCTGTAAATTGTTGGTTTGGTTTGTACTAATTTTTGGTATCCCTATTTTAAGTTCACATCTAATAGGATAATGGTCGGAGTGGTTACTAATGACATCCTTCATGACCACTTTCGCTGCAACCTGCATATGTCTAGACTTGTGCAGGAAGTAGTCGAGTTCGGAACATTCTTCGCCATTTGTCTTAATAAAGGTCCTCCCGGTATTCTCATAGCCTAGACTATAGTCTGCGATGAGTTGTTGTAAGTACTTTTTCCTCTTGTTTTGTCTTTCTTCATTTCCCAAATCTTCGTTGAGGTCACCGCCAATTACAATTTCATGCATGTCTTGATATTTTATTATGATCTCATTTAGTTGGTCAATGGTGTCCTCATATTCATCTATACTATTTCGCCCTCCAGTTGAAGGTAAGTACGCTGATACTAAGAGTAGTTTTTGATCCTTTCCTGATATTTCCACACATTGGATCCTCTCTCTACCGTCGTCCAGTTGTCTGACTCTACTGTCTATCTCATTTTTCCATATTACTGCAACCCCTCCATGTCCCCTTGGTAGAAATATTTGTTGTATTGGGTCATATTCATCACAACCTTTTGCAGCATAGTTGGTACATTTGCCGATTTCTTGTAGATAATGTAATTGTCTATGAAACAGCCAGTGTTCTTGAAGCAAAAGTATGTCGTTATTTTCGATAAGGTCGTGCAAGGCGTATATGTTTGATTTTGCGTTTTTACAGTTGAATGATATGATTTTCAGAGCTGGTACGCCTTCTTTTGCTGCTGTTTTTGCTATCTTCTGAGTTTTTGGAGGCTTGGTTGGCATAAAAAATCCTCGTTGTGGGTTCTGGTTTTATTGAGGGGCTCTTGATTATACCTAGTTGTAGTATGTCTGGTACTATTGCAGCTCTCATGTATCCCCTGGTTGTTGTTTGGGTTGTTGTTGTGTTTGTGGGCGTGTTGTCCAGCATACCTTCGATCTTTAACTGTTACGTGTCTTCGATCAGGTGTGTGTGTTGATCTGGGTGGTAGGTTGGGAACTTGCCTTACTTGTCTTCTATTGTTTGGATGTGAGGCTCTAGGTGGGATAGTGCTTGCTAGAAGAGCACTCTGCTGTACAGTGTTACATATTAATGGCATTCCGGTTAACATTGGATATACCGGTTGTGATTGGATATGTTGGTTGGTAAATGTTGGATTTTTTATATTTGTTGCCATTTTTGGTTGTTGATAGTCCTGTCTGGTTTTGGATTGTTGACTTTGCCGCACTTGGAGATGTATGTTTTCATCCATGCTGTGGTCTTTCATGTCGAGGTTCACTGCGTTCGAGTTGAATGCTGTCTCGTCTTTAGGATTCTCATGATTGTTGTTGTAATGGTGGTAATAATTGGGATCGCTGTAGCTTGCTTTCTCATACTGTTTTGCATTTGTAGTGGTGTTATCAGTGCTCAGTAGGCCCGTTGCTACAGCGTCAATCTGCTTTTCTACCTGGTCCATCACCATTGATGCTAGTTTTTCATGTATAGTCAT